ACCGAAGACTTTTTGGAAAACGCTCCCTGACTCAGAGCCTCATGTAGATGTCAGCTTTTTCCCTGATATCATTGGAACAAAAAATGTTTCAATGGTTTCACCATCTGAAAAGGCAACAAGTCATCCAAAGTGTGAGTGTGTAGCCAAATTGATGGAATTTGAACTGGTCCATATTGCAGTACAGAAGTACCTCATGAAACAACTTGATGAGATGTCTGCAATAAATAAGAAACTAACTGCTGAAATTAAAAAACAGAAAGACATGATGAGGAAAATACTGTCCGTAAGAAGACAAAGAAAGAGTCCAATGGTTTCTGTTGAAACTCAGACAGAGTCAGAAAATCGCCCACAAACAGTTGATCACAAGTCTGCTGCAATGGAAACAGAGCAAGACGCACAAGAAACCAGCTATCAGTTGAAGCCAGTCCCTCAAACACTTTCTATGCAACCTGACATACATGTGTTGGACACCAGATGCCATCTGAAACGAGTCCGACCTGAGATACATGTGTTGGACACTAGATGCCGCCTGAAACCAGTCGAACAAACAATTTGTACACAACCAGAGATACATGTTTTGGACACCAGAAACCATCTGAAACCAGTCCGACAAACAATTTCTATGCAAGCTGAGATACATGTGTTGGACACTAGATGCTGCCTGAAACCAGTCCGACAAACAATTTGTACACAACCAGAGATACATGTTTTGGACACTAGATGCCATTTGAAACCAGTTCGACAAACAATTTTTAGGCAAGTTGAGATACATGTATTGGACACTAGGTGCCATCTGAAATCAGTTCGACAAACAATTTTTAGGCATGTATTGGACACTAGATGCCATCTGAAACCAGTTCGACAAACAATTTTTAGGCAAGTTGAGATACATGTGTTGGACACCAGAAACCATCTGAAACCAGTTCGACAAACAATTTTTAGGCAAACTGAGATATTTTTATTTCTAAGAGATCAGCCCTCTGAAATTCAGTGGGCTGATCTGAATGGGTACCAGGATGGGCAGAAAAAGATGTACAAGACATCTACAAATCAAAACAGAATAGAATCGACAACGAAACCTGGCTTTGAATTGGAAACCTTAAATAATGACAGGGTTTCTGGAGCAAGCAGTAAACAGGGAGTTTCAGAACCAGAAACAAAATGGGTTCAGACAGCCTCTGTTATAAACCAGATTCTAACTAAAGAAGTGATCATTCAGCAGATCATTTCAGAAGAATTGACTGAATCTAAATGTCAGAAAAAGAAGCAGATGACAATGAGAGCTGAAACTGAAGCTGTTGTCATCCCAATGGAGACAAATAACAAGTTGATTCAAGACACTAAAATACCAAGAAATGATTTAGACATAGTAGCAGAGATCTCCCAGACAACTTCTGTGCAAATGGGGACAGAAGGGGAGAGAGACCAGAGACCATCACCTCCACAGAGAAAGGTCACATTAAATGAAGATACAATACAAACATCAACTCAGGACTCAGAGACTCATGCTGCAGAAGAGTCAGCTGAGGAGAAGGATAACTGTGATCAAGAAAGACCCATGAAAAAATTATCTCTGTGGAAACGATTTAGGAAGGCTGTATCTCCGTCACTTCTGCGGAAATTCACAAACAGAAATAAAGTCCATCCACTGTAGACATGAAATTATGTCTCCAGCACATTAGACTTCAAAACTGGCTGATTGGGAATAATTGGATAAAGAAGTTCAGATGATGTTAATTGGACATTTTAATATTAAAAAGCCAGGACTGCACGGGGGGAAATGTCTCCCCGTGTAGGTGTGGGTTCACTCCGGGCGCTTCGGCTTTCCCCACATTCAACAACATCACTGCTCAAATTCATCTATTTCAACATATTTATTGCTAACTCGAAACAGAAAATAAGACAACCACATTTATTCATTAAAGGCAGATTTGGACAAAGAAAATGTAAAAAACATGGAACAAAAACAGACTTTTAGAAGTCTGAACCAATACTATTTGGAAACGATTTTATTTTATTTTATATATATGTATATATATATATATATGTATATATATATGTATATACACATATATATATATATATATATATATATGTGTGTGTATATACCTATATATATATATATATGTGTGTATATACCTATATATATATATACAGTATATGTATACACACACACACACACACACACACACATATATATATATATATATATATATATATATATATATATATATATATATATATATATATATATATATATATATATATATATATATATATATATATATATATATATATATATATATATATATATATATATACACACATTCAGGTGACTGGACTGGATTTGGATGGATCCTCTGACTTTGACAGTGGAGGTCAAAGGCCAAACAGCCAACAAGAAATCAAAAGAATCATCTGCACAGAGACGCGATCTTAATCTGATAAACAGTTTTTGGAACGATGAGACGGAAACTGAGATCCAGACGACGGCATTGTTAATAATCCAAAGTTACAAAAAGCTTTTCCATTTCATAGGATCATTAATGTCAAGGTGTGTGTGTGTGTGTTTGTGTAGGTGTGTGTGTGTTTCTGTGCGTGTGTGTGTGCGTGCGTGCGTGTGTGTGTGGGTGTGTGTGTGTAGGTGTGTGTGTGTTTCTGTGCGTGTGTGTGTGCGTGTGTGTGAGCGTGTGCGTGTGCATGCGTGTGTGTGTGGGGCGGAGGGGGGGTGTGCGTGTGTGTGTGTGTGTGCATGTGTGTGTGTGTGTGGTGTGTGTGTGTGTGTGTGTGTGTGTGTGTGTGTGTGTGTGTGTGTGTGTGTGTGTGTGTGTGTGTGTGTGTGCATGGTTGTTGAACTCTAACTCATCACAGGCTTGCGATTGTATGATTTTAATTTACATAGTTATCATAACCACGATTTGCATAGGTTCAGAGAAACATTCTCAAGTTCCAAATACACGTTTTTACAACATAGACATATCAGAACAGCTTTCTATTTGCATGGTGCCACCTCTTCCATCCATTTTTTTTGTTGGAAAAAATGGATGAAGATTGTGGGAATATTACAATCTCATGATTGTGGGAATATCTCATGAAAATGTTGAAATGTGATTAAAAAAAAAAAAAAACCTAAAGTAAAATGTGTCCATGTGTAAAAATGTTGAGCAAGTCAGGAACACATCTGTGTTCCTGACTTGTTGTTATTTCACCAACATTTTTCTCAAATTCTCTGTATTTGATAATTAAAGATCCAGCCTGTATTGAATTAAATTGATTGTGCTCTGGATTTAAAAAATAAAAAATGGCAAAACTATACAATTTAAAATACAGACTTAATAGTTAGCACTAAGGAGGTACAACATTCCAAGTGAAGATTGCAGTTGAAACTAAATGCATTCTTTGAGCCATATTATAAGCTGATAATAATCTCCAGTTATCCAGATGTGACAGCAGCAGAAAAACCCACTGGTGTCTGGCCTTCGAGATGCTTCAATATGCTGTTTTTAATCTAAGCTTCACTCTGCAGGCCATCTGTTTTTTTCTCCCTCCCTCCTAAAAAGCATCACTCACATACCAAGCGGATGGAGTCTTAAGGTTTACTTAAGTGTGATAAAGTGCAGCGATCTGAACATCCACATTTCATTCAGCATCCAACAAGCTTTTATCAGTCAGTCAGGCAGGAGAAATGGGGACGAGGGCTTAAAGTCGCTCAATAAAGTTATTACATCCACTGTTGTACTCCCATACTGTATTTAAAGATCTGTACCCTGCTTTTGCATTGTCCTTATGAAAGTTTTTTCTGATTCACATATACTGATAGTGAAAACCTGCTGGATGGCAGTTTTTTTCTGAGCTCATGATCTTAACTTTTTTATTGCCCTACTTCTCTTGATTGAGCCAAATAAATAAGATCGCTGTTGATGATAATAGAAGAAGCTCAGATGTAGGTAGGAGAAATAAATAAAATCACTATCTTAAAAAACATGTATTTACAGACTTTAATCAATTGTACTGGATTTCCTGTGATGAAAGTGTGGCTTGGATTTGTAGTCAGCCCTCCAAGCTACTGTGATGCTAAAACACCTTTTACATTCCCTACCAAAGAAAAGCATCTCCAGACTGTGAGTGACAGTTTTATCATCACACACTGTTTTGTATGTAGGCAAAAAGGGTTTGTTTGCATCATCTGGCTAGACCACCCTCTTCCACCAGGTTGCAGGGTCCTCTACATGGTGAGAGGCAAACTGCCTCTTTCAACAATAACTTTAATCCTGCTGCTTTTCCTCCCAGTTCAGGCTGGACTAGTTCTCCAATCAATTCTCTTCTCCTAGCGCGTTAGCTTTGGTGTGAAGTCATTCCTTGGTAGGTTTGGAGTTGAACTGTAACACATTAACATTTGGAGGACAGAGTCCAAAAGTGCTGTGTGTTTAATAACCTAACCCTGCTTTGAACTTCTTAACAATTTTAGTTCAAACTTATCTGCTGTGATCCTGTGACCACGATGTATGTTTTGAAGGCATTCAGTCTTAATAAATAACCATTAAAGAAATGTATTTTATTGAAATGGTTTAATAAAAGATCTTTTGAGTGGAAAACGGTTTATTTAAAAAATATTTTTTTAAACCATTCTTTCACAAGGGTTTTCAAGGGTTGAAGTATTAAACCACTGAGGTTTAATAAACCTCTTTACTGAACAGTTGGATTTCTATTTTGGCAGCTCTGTTAAATTAGTGAACTTTGTTTACTATTTTGATTACTCTGGAGGTAATTGATTTCACTGGGATGTATTTAGTGCAAGGGTAAAAGCTTTTCATTCTTTGAATGAAAAGCTTTAAAAAAACTATCCTTTCATTCAATCTCACAATCCTATTATCCTATTCTGTTGGGCTACATCAAGAAAACAAAGCAGGAACTATTAACAAGAGTTCTGGAATAATGTTAAAGTAATTCTTGTTTGCAATTTTGTTGTTACCAACCTTACATGTTAACTCCACTGGAAGACCCAGATCAGACTTTTTTTATGGTCTGTGTTGTTCCACTGCCTGCATTATTTCTATGCCTTTATCAGTAAGGATTGCAGACACTGGCTGCCAGTCAAACTGGTTTCACTCTGTTTTTAGGTACACTTAATGGATTGTTGGGAAGGAAATGGTGACTTGTTTTTTTTTGTTGTTGTTGTGGTTAATGTTGTGCATGGTGTGATTCCTGGTATTCCTTGACTAGCTTTTCATATAGAGACAAAAGGAAATTTTGTTTTTCTTTTTGACCCCATTCGACAGTTACTGCCTCCCATTTCACATTCACCGCTGAATATTCTGTAGATTTTCTTTGCCGAGATAATAACATGTTCCCTTTTATAAACACTGACACATGTAGAGAACAAGGAATTTTAACAAGGGCAAGTGAAAAATGTTTCCCCCCCTACATGAACTTTCCTGTGTATAATGCCAGAGCCCTTCCCCCTTGTTTTCCGGGGAGGAGTGATGCAAGTTAAAGGAAAAGTGCCCAGAGTGAGACATATGAGTATCTGAGCTGCTGCAGGCGCGTACACAGCCCAGAAAAGGAAGTGAAGATGACTCTGAGTAATTGCTGATGCCCTGCAGTTTTGTTGCATTTTCAGATTAGCCATCACCTGAGACTTTTTACAAACTACACACCATTTGATACTTTTCTGTGTGCACTGTTTGCATTACTGTGAACAATCCTAGAAGAGCATAGGAATGATTCGAGTAGAGGAGTAACAACTTCCCTGAACATTCTGGAGAGCATTTCTGTTATGGTAAGTCTATCTCTTTTTCTAGTACTTAATATATTTGTTTATGTGCTTTTCAACAGAACAGAACCCAAAATTATTTGAATTTAGGGAATGTCAATGCTTATACCAAGATATGTTCAGTTATATTTGATCATTTTTTACTTTCATTTTGTTGTTGCCGGTAACCAGTTGTAGAGGAAATGTGAAAAAAAAAAACACTGAACACATTTGACTGCACGTCAGAATAACAAACCTGTGCTCTTCCTCTTTTTTTAGTTTGTTTTTAGTTAGATTCATATGATGTTTTAGCATTAAAGCAAGCAGCAGATCAAACATGAATACCGCCTGCTAACATAACTTGTGAATTCTCAGACATTTCATGCATGCCATCACAAGAAAAATGTCTGGAATCTTCTTAGGAGTTAGTCATGTAGATTTTTGTTGATGTCTTTTGGGTCATCCTTTCATCATTCCTGTTTCAATAGATTAGGTACAAGAAAAGATAAGACTTTTGAGTTCATAGTACTGATTATGCTTTACAACACAAAGTAAAAGAGGTTACCACGGAAAATCAGTCGTGTAATTTAAAGAAAATGATGATTGTGCAGACACAAACAGATTTTCATGGTGAAGTTTAAAAATCAAACACAAAAAATCTAACTGCCATATATAGCCTTGTTAGATAGATAGATTTTATTACACAGACTCAAAGTCCAAAATTTATATAAAAAAAGAAAACAAAACGATAAGACATCTAACTCTTGTCTTATTGAGTGAAAATGAAAAATTGTATTATATTATATTATATTATATTATATTTTTAAAGACAGAATGATAGGGTTATATAAGTGTTCACCTGTACCTTTGTCCCTTATGGACAATGAACTCATTCATCATGGGCAGAAGCGATGTCTTGAGAATTCATGATTCTTGTATGACCTGAAACACAATATGTCGGTTGATTAGTTTTAGAGGAAAACTCATTTCCCATCCTGATTCTCAAACACAATGTCGGTCTGGAAATATTGACTGTGAGCGGTAATGACCACTTCCCATTGACGGAAGTTTCGAGAGCGTTACTTTTCTTTTTACGTTGTACCAAAATGTTATTAGCGAAAGAGGTCAAGGCTTGACTTTGTGAAAAGATCCTAAGCTCACATTCAGGAGTTTTAATTTTTGTAGATGGATAAAACATTTATACAATGCAAATAACCACATTGTTACTGCTATGAATGTTCTTCTTGCCTTAAGTCAAACTGTTGGAAACCGACAAAATTTAGCTTTCTAACAGTTTGGAATGCAACCTTTTGTCAGACGCACACTTTAAGTACTTGTAGTCTGATACTTGATACTTTAGAACACACAAAGATGAACATGTGCTTCATATTTTATGTGGTTTGGATGTTATTTCACAAATCAAAAAATGGTCACATTTTAAGTTTTTAGGAGTAAAGAAGTCCCTGAACTGTCTGTTGTGTTTCTTGGTTTTCGTGATGCTGTTTGTTCACGACTGATCTTTTACAAACCTCTGAGGTGTTCATAGAACAACTGTATTTATTCTAAGATCAAATTACACATACTACGATGCAGATATCTAATTCACATGTGCTTATTTGATTTAGCCTGACACATAAAATCTAAATTAATACTTAACATAAATGTTTGCGTTCATGGTGGCCAGGGTGAATATGTCTGTAAAAAAACATTTAGTACTATCAAACCCTCTGCATATAACAGTTACATCCTCCTTGATTAAGATTCAAATGACCCTAAGTTGCTTGTTTGTCCCTCAACAGTGCAACAAGATAAGTTTCTTCTGTGGTTAACCTTGTCCCACTTTCAAGTAAGCAATCTAAGCAATAGCTTTCGGGAAAGTAAATGAAGTAATGTTTCTGCTGCATGTTATTGGAAACTAACAGACAGAATTGACAGACTTGGAAGAAAAAAACCAACACAAAAAACAACTATTTGGTTCCACACAAATGCATTCCACTGATTAGACCCTCTCATAAACAGGATGTTTTTCAAATTGCTTGACCATTCATTGATCATGGACACAGCCTTTGTAATTTGTTACACACTTAGAAACACTTCCTGTTTAACACAGTTTTGTGTTAGTGGAATTTGTTTGCAAGGTAGTCTTTTCACAAAAATATCCATATCAAATGCTGCAAATTTTGATAAGCTTTTGTCTTTTAGCTTTTGGGAAAAGTCTCTCTTACTCCTATGCACCTGTTTTAGTTATACATTTGTAAATATTTTTTGTCTTTGCTTTTTTGGAGCAGTATTTTCATGGACATTTTCTGGACACTTACAGAAACAATTGTCAAACATTTTCATCAATAGTTATGCATTAATTCCTCAGAGTTCAAGATTTATTGCTCTTGGTTGAATGAGCCTAATTCTTGCTTTTATCACATTTTGCCTTTCATGTGTGTTTCACATTTACAATTCATCTTGCTTTAAAAAGCATTGTGTAAAGAAATAATGATAAAATATTTACTTTAAATGTGTATCTAAAATAAGTTTGAAGACTATTTTGAAATTCCACATATAGATGGACTTGTCTGTTTTTGGATTGGCCATTAGTCGCCTGATGAAGTGTAGTTAGTGGGTTTTCAGCATTCTGGCAGAATGTACACACCCGGGATAATGAATGTTCAAGCTGTCGTCCTGGATCAGACTCACTGGACTGAAGTCATTTACTATCAGACTCAGGGACTGTTTTTGTTTGTTTGTTTGTTTGTTTTTTACAAAAATGCAATAGGTCTCAGTTTCACTAAATCATGTAATGTTTAGTGATATATAAAGTGCAATTTGTATTTTTTCTCTGATTTATGAGAAAAATATACATATACACTTCTTTCTCCATGGAACATGCATCGGTCACTAGATGAGCTTCATTGTACTACTGCACATTTTATGTTGGTGCAATGCCAAATGCTACTAAATTGTGAGATTTTTTTTATTTTAAAGATTTCCTCTCCATGTTTATTTTTGAGTTATCAGTACTCTCAAAATGCATGAAAAAGTTTGCACAGAGCAAAAAAAAAAGCCTTACTTCTTTATTTATGTGCATTTACCTTGAAGACTAATATTTGCTTAAAGCTAAAATTTTCTCTTCAGGGACACAATGAGAAAGTTTATGCCGGGTCACTTGGGATAACACGTTAGGCAAATTATGGGTCTCGGTATAAATTTCCTGTCTCTCTGTCTCCCAGCCATCAGAAATGTATTTCCTGTCAGGATGCAGTATCTTTCCTCCTCTATTTTAGTTATCAATGTCCTCAAAATCTATGAAAAACAAATACTTTGCTCAGAGCAAATAACCTTACTTCTTTATTTGTATACATTTACCCTGAAGAATAATATTTGCTGAAAGCCAAAACATTTTTTAAGACAGTCTCTTCAAGGACACAATGAGAAAGCCCATGCCGGGTCACTTGGGACAACATTTTAGGTAAATTATTTGACTGTGTATAAATTTTCTTTCTCTGTTTTCCAACCATCAGAAATGTGTTTCTTGCCAGTATATGGTATCTTTCCCACTGTATTTTAATTAAGCTGTCATCTTACTCATTTCTAATCCCTTCTGTTACTGCTACATGTTACTGTTCTGTGTTGTACAAGCTATGTGTAAGATGCTCTCCCAGTTTGCTAACTCTAAAATTCCTGAAACAATGTTTACCCCAATGCATGTTTTCAGATTGCACCCAGGTCTGGCATGAAAAGAAATACTGTTACAACTGACTCATAATATTTGCATTTCAGATAAATTTGTTTAGTGTGCCTACCCTGTAAGCTCGTTCAAAGCCTGTTTTATCATCTGATAAATTCCGTCTTCCTGCACCAGATGTTTTTATCTTTGCAATACAACGGAGCTGTTATGTATAGACGTTGGGGGGGAATATGGAAGTGTATAAATTATTTACCTGGGAGCAGCTTTACAATTTATGAAATGTGATGGACATTTTTCTTTCAAATAATTTTTTGGAAACACTAACATAGATCACACGCTAAACTTAAACAGTGGTGAAGTAAGCATATTTTCCAAATGGATGGTTGAAAAAAGTAAACAATTTGGCTGAATTGTATTTATTGCAATTTCTTTAAACTTTGCAAAAGTTACAGAAGCTGTTGCTCCAGTTTCTATAACCAAAAACCATAGACTCAGGAGCGTGACTGCAAATCTGTTCTCTCCCTGCTAGACTCTATAGACATCATTGCTCCCAGATCAATATGTATGCAACTTTACCGTTGATTTATTTTATTTTTTGTGACTAATTGCAAATAGTCTATCTATTGCTCAGACTTGCACATTTTGTGCAGTTTTTAGTGATTCATCTCAGATGGACATTCCTCTGGAGAGGAGTTTTTTCTTGTTTTGTTTCCTGTTTTTGTTTTTATGTTTACTCAAAACTTGACTGTTTCAGATAATCCAGTAAATATTAGAAAAGGATTGTCTGAATAAGTAGAAAATGCTACCCTACCTTTCAAGTGAAAATTGTACTTATTGCGGGGTGAAAGCAGTCCAAATCAACCTGGCCCTGTGTGAAACAGCAATCCACCTCCTTAAATCATTAAGGAGGTGAGACGTTAGGCACGTTAGGCAAATTATGGGTCAGCGGTGAACCTTCACAGGAATGATTGGTCAAGTAGTCACTTCAACATTCAAACAAGTTGCCAGTAAATCTATTCTTTTTTTTTTTTTGCTTTTTTTTACATTGATTTACTTTATGAATGTATAACTTGAATTCTGTTCTCTACCAGAAAATCCTGGACAGAGATTGTCTGGACATTAGTTTGCTGCCTTAATGTCAAAGTCAATTTGGCATATATAGCAGGAGAAAGATCTGAAGCACACCAGCAAATTAATCTTTTTAAAAGCTTTTATGGCACCGATGGCCTTTATTTGCAGCTTTCAGACAGAAAATGGGCAGTGAGAGAAGGGGAGAAGACATGCAGCAAAAGTTCCAAGGGTGAGAATCATCCCTGGATGGCTGCATTGAAGACTAATTGCCTCCATATGTGGTGCACCTGCTCTAACTCTTCACCATGCACCATCAGCAAGTTCAACTGTGAATGACCTGTTCCCAAAAAAACAAAGACACAGGTTTGGAATGGCCTTGCCGAAGTCCAGTTTTCAAGACATGATGAGACACAACATTAAGCACACCACCCAGAAACCCTCATTCTGCATAGAAAAGTGAAAAAAAAATCACTTCACCCTCATGTCACGACTCATTGCCAGTTTTTTTTTTTTTTATATATATATATAGCTATTGTTGTGGACTAAAGAATCCTTAGTCACAACTAAGGGTTTTGGGTGTTGTTTGGGTGGTTTTTTTTTTTTTTTTTGGTTGGTTGTTTTTTTTTTACTGTTATTAGATAAAACTTTTATTTATTTTCTGCACTGTTCTGGAATTGCAGTCTGCCAATAGGGTTTTAGTTTTGCAATGGCACCTGAGGAAATGAAAAAAGTAATTCATACCATGCTGGACACCCTTCCAAATAAGTGCAGTTCAAATCAGAACAAGCGTATGTATAAGCATTTTATTATTTGAAAATCTGACATGTCATGGCCCTACACCCTGGGAAGTTGTTTACTGCACATACAATTCTGGGTAAGTGTCATCGAACGGCACATTACATGTCCCACCGAAATCTTAGCAATTAGATAAAAAGTAAAAGTTCAACAGAGTCCAGAGTTTCTGTACGGAGCGAAAGGTAGAACAAAGGGTTGTTTGTACAAAAAGAGAAACAAATATCCTACTGAAAAGTTTGTGGTTGTGACTTTTGTGTTAATTGCTTATCAACTAAAATTTTAGTAAAGTCTTGAATTAAAACTTTTATTTTCATTTGTTTAGGTGAATGAAGTGATTCCTGAAAGCTTATACCATCTCAACATCTCTGAGTAATCTGAATTTTCATCTGATGAGCATCATGACTGAGTCAAACCACACCCCATCCTGCTACGCCAACACCAGTACTCCATATAGTTATGCTCCTGGCATTAACAAAGTTGACTACTCAGCTACCTTCAGCACTTTGGGCCTCATCTCTAATCTAATTGCCTTTATTGTCCTCATCAAATCCTTCAAGCAGACGAAAAGTCATTCTCGTTCTTTCTTCCTCATCTTCCTGGGTGGTCTTGTAGTCACTGACTTCATGGGTCTGCTGGTCACCGGCTCCTTCGTGATTTCGTTTTACGCAACACGTGTTGACTGGAGGAAGTTGGACCCTACCTGTCACTTTTGCAACTTCATGGGTATGTCCATGGTCTTCTATGGATTGTCCCCTCTGCTGCTTGGTGCCACCATGGCCACCCAGCGCTTTATTGGCATCAACCATCCATTTGCAAGTTCCTCCAAAATGACCAAGAGAGGGACTATTTCCCTGGTGCTGATGGTGTGGTTTGTTGCTGGAAGCATATCGTTGCTGCCACTAGCAGGCTTTGGTAGTTACCACATTCAGACTCCTGGATCCTGGTGTTTCCTCAACATGACCCCCAAGACAAGTGACTGGGGTTTCGCTCTGCTTTTCTCCCTGGTTGGACTGATCAGCATTGCAATGTCAATTTTGCTGAACACTGTGAGTGTGGTGACCCTGCTCAAGGTTTACTGTGGAGCAGAAAGGAGACAACGTAGCAGAGACCATGAAGCGGAAATGATGCTGCAGCTCATACTAATCATGACTATTGCCACGGTTTGCTGGTGCCCTTTGCTGGTAAGATGTTTTTTTTTTTTTTTATCTCTTCCCTTCCTTTTAGAATGACCCTCTCTGTGTATGTTTGGGGCTGTTGTTTTTTGGGATTCATTCAATATTTACAAAGTCTTTGCATAAGAGAATCTGGTTCAATTTATTTCAATTCCAAAATCTTTATTTTCTGAACAAATGTGGAGGCATTTCTCTTTGTATTATTGACAACTTGGAAGGAAAAAAAACATGGTTTTTAAACTTTGTGCGTTTAAAATGTATAAACTCCATTCAAGCATTTGTATCCAGTCCTATTTCACTCTAATATTCCTAAATAAAGCCCAGTCCAACTTATATGCCTCCCATTTGACATATAGAATCCAATTATGTTTATTGTAAGTATACATGCAGCCGTTGCATGAAGGAAACAAACTGCTCAGATTCAGAACATTAGTGAACAAGCATTAATAAGAAGACTCTTTTTCCTCTCTTTTGTTTCTCTTTTACCTTTTCTCCCTTTATAATGAGATATTGAATATGAAATAAAATGGCTGCAAATTTATTTTAGGATAAGGTTGCTTTTACAAAGAAGAGGATTTGACTTAAACTATAAGACTTCTGTCCTCTTTTTCCAGCTCAGTACTACAGATGTTTAAGACCTAATAAGGCATCACAAAGAGCCAAGCTCTTTTTCTTAGCATTCTTTTCCATGCTTCATTTGCTTGTCGCAATGTAGCCTCTTGACAAGTGAATCTGAGAGCAATTTGGTTTTATCTTGCATTGCACGTTTAATCCCTAATTTGACTTAGCACTTTCCAGGTTTTCAGAAGGACTGAGACCATGCCTTTAAAGGAAATGCACACTATGTGAGCCATTATAGCATACTGTATGTTCAGTGGGGCAACTCATCCCACTTGACAATCCTTTAGACTCTACTGTGACAAAAATGTCACTAAAACTATAAAATAACAACCACATTGTGAAACAGCACCAAGTTTTGACTTGAAAATCAACTCACTACCAATTGTCTAGATCATATTGAGAATATTAATAATGAACATATACAATACTGTGGTGGCCTGGATAGGTTGCTGATGGTCTGGGGACCTCTGTAGACAATGGATAAATATATTTAAATTTTTTATTATTATTTTTTTTAAGAATTTGTCAATCTTCTTGCAAAAGCTACACATTTTATCAGCTTTTAGTAATTTTCCAATATATTATGTGAAAATGTTCAAATTCCCGTCAGTTAAATTTTATGTGTTTTGGGTGACTAATTAATAGAGCATGTACTGTTATGCAGTCATGTCTAACCTTAGACACGTAACATCCCACACAGATATATATTCTGAAGAGTTCACTGACTCTCCCTGCAAGTGATGACAAGCTTTTGTTCTTCATTCGAATTGCCACCTGGAATCAAATACTTGACCCCTGGATTTACATCATGATAAAAGTGTGCAAATTAAGGCGAGTAACAAATTATATATATCATGGCACAGCTTAAACAGTCACTGCCCACCCTCTCATGTCCTAATTGTGAGCTACAGCATGCCTGTTACACCAGCATGTCAGTGCCATCTGCAATTAAAACCCATGGATGTACATTTGCACAGTGCTATGATAATAATCCAAAACTACCATCCATGTCATTATCATGTAACTCACAACATGATAGTCTCGTCATCACCATCATATTTTTTTTGCAATTCACTCTCCATTCTGTCCCACTCAGATAAAAGTGCAGCAGCCTATGTAACTTTTATAATCAACATGGTTTTTTGTATTAATATTGTTACATATCTGTTAAAACTATGTCTTGACAATATAATATGAAACAAACAATATGTGGAAAAAAAAATTTACTTCTCCGGCTTTGGGTACAAAATGCACTTTTATAGATTGCCACACATATACTATGGGTCAGCATAACATGCTTTTAGTTTTAATTAATTATATTAGTTTTATTAGGTCATCATATCTAATAAATGTGAATTTTGCAACCCCTTAAATACCAGTTTTAGGAAGTAATTCACCCTCCCTCTCCCCATAAAAAACACAAAACAAAAACAAACCAACAAAAAATAGTAAGCAAATTGAATTTTTCCAGGAGAATCATCCATCATTGATTCATTGACACTACCTCAATTATCATATTTTTGTCAAAGTTGTCAAAATGTAGACATTTATCCAGAAATATATGCAAACTGATATACTATATACTAGAGACTCTGCACGTACTGACATAAAAGGGGTTGTGTAATACCTAATATTACAAAGATAAAATCCAAGTGAACCAGGCACATGGATGGTTCACTTGGACCATATAATATATATATATATATATATATATATATATATATATATATATATATATGTATATGTATACATGTATACATATATACATACATGTATACATATATATATATATATATATATATATATATATATATATATATATATATATATATGTGTGTGTGTGTGTGCGCGCGGGTGCATGCATGCATCCATGTGTGTGTGCATTCGAGTTATGTTTTATTTATTTCTTTGGAAAGTGTTTTTGAGTGTTTGAAAAAGTGTTATCATTATTATTATTATAATTATTATTATAATTATAAACCAAATAAATTGGTTTGTAAAGATTTTTCCTTAATGTTTTAAACTGTAAAGATTCTCTGCTGCTGTGAAATATGTTCTCAACAAAGACTTTCTCTACACTTATCTAACAATTTGCATGCAACCATTTATAATGCAAAGATGTGGATCTGCACTAATCAACTGTTTTCATTGCATTGCTTAGACAAGAGGAACATTCTAACACCACCTGAATGTTAAAAGAAAATATGAGACACCTGTAGTGTATTTGTCATGTGAAAAGAAACTTGTTATAGAATATTTTTGTTGCCATTGGAGAATTTGAGAATAACATTAATAAAGCAATGGTTCATAAAATGCAGCAATTTACGCACAGCCAGTGAGCTTTGCTGGTTTATTGTTATCCTTACCCCACAGGGGACGTGACACAGTTAGCATATAACTCAGAAATAATTATTTTCAGGATTTGATTGTATTTGTAATATTAACCAAGTCCATCTTTTTTCCTCTTTTTTTCAACTTTTCCAACTCTTACTAATTTTCTATTTTTGTCCTTTATTTCTTGTCTTAATCTCTTTTAATTAATCTTATTTTCCTTCATTCACCTGTTGACCTTTCTTTTCAATGTTATACACAACCAACTATCCTACAACCTTTAGGTCTTTATTGCCCAGACAGCTTTTGCCAGAACCGGTTTTGAGGTGAAATATCTGCTTCTCTGGATACGCTTTGCAACCTGGAACCAAATCTTAGATCCATGGGTATACATCCTGTTTCGCCGGACAGTTTTGAGGAGAATGAACCCTCGTGCTGACTGGTCCCGTACCTCCATCATGTCTTTGTCTTCATCGATACGTGACGGTGTCCACCGATTCACACAGTCTTCACTGGGAAGCACCCTGCGCTCGGAAGTCCCAGAGAATCTTGAAAAATCAAGTATGAAGCCCCCCTCTCCAGTAACACCGTCCTCACCTTCTCCATGTTTGATTGAATCTGAGTCGTAATTACAGCAAAGTCACATAAGTCTACCTGTAAATGTGATATGTTCTGCTGTTGTTTTTTATGACAAATGTAATGAAATCGGCTTGCATGGTTGCACATGTGAAGCAACTGTCTCCTTATGACTCTGTGTGTATTTAACATATCATTATTATTTCACTATATGAGCTTAATGCAAAGACTTATGTAAAGAGATATAAACTATTATCAAAAATATATTTCAACTGGCACCATATGTAAAGCTAAGAATGAGATGTGTAAGCTGGCATTTTTCAGTTTTTCCTTGTGGATTTGGTATATTTTATAAACAGCTAAAACATTGCTTATTATGACAGAAATATGCTGTACTATTGTGCATAAAAGGATTTTATGCAGTTTGAGAATTACATGTTTAAATATCAAAACGTGAGAGAGGTCATTAAGGATGTTTTTCTGATCTTTACAGATCAACAAAAACAACTTCCTTGATATTTTTTCCTGTTTCTTATCTATCCATCCATCCATCCATCCATCCATCCATCCATCCATCCATCAGCATCCGCTGAGCGGGGTCACAGAGAGGATGATGGTGGCTGTGTACTGTACATGCATTTTTGTATGAAAAAAAACAAAAACAATTACAGGACCCAAAGCAATAAGTTGAATATGTTTGCAAAAATGAGCCAACATGATCGACAGTATTACCTTCTGCTTTATGCTTTTAGTGAAAGTGAAAAAAGAAATATTTCAATTTTTTTGTCTTTGTCAGTGATATGTAATTTAACAATGTGGTAGTAATGTGCTTTTTATTCATAACATGAAATATTAAAAATCTTTAAAAATGTGAATTGTCTTTTGTTCTTCAGTGTTTTCATTCTGCCTTAAAAAGACATTGTTTTGCCTTAACTTTTACTTCTCAGTATTGATGTGCAGTTCTGATCAAAGAATAAAGAATTGTGTCTTTGAGATGAAATACTATTAGGGACACATTTGTTATACTAACAGTTACATTGCTACAATAATAATACTTTTTTACAATAATTAAGTTTGCAACAATTTTTAGTTTTGAATTCTAGATTTTGCCAAAATATTTGGATCTTGTTGAATCAATAACTGTATCGGAATTTTCATTCATCGGTTGCATTAAAAGTAATGAAAAGAAATTTGATTCAGCTTAAAGCCATGGCTGAAATGGTAGCTTAGAATATGGTAATTAGATTTACAAGCTCATAGAACAAACAGGTTAAGAAAAAGGTTGGGTGATTTAGTTCTTCTTTTTTCTTTTAATCAAGGATTGAGTACACGGAAAACACATTTAAAAATGACACCAATTTAAAATTTCAGAGCTTAAAAATGAAGTTATTTATTAAAGATACTATCAAATGAAACCTCCAAAGTTCAACCTTTCTTATCAGAAAATAAATTACATGAATATTTAACATTGCATAGTTCAAGGCCAATATAAGCAATTTTTAAATCAAAACATACAGCCCCTGTATAAGCTGCAGATTCCTAAAATGTCACAAAAGTACAAAGCAGGAGCTGATGAAAGATTGCTCATGTTTAGTGTTTTGCCATATAATTAAACTTTGAAAAGCACTTACACAATTGTCAAGCTAAATAAATAAATATAAGAAAATGTAATGTTTATTGTTGTGAATTTACAATTTAGTTTGTGCAAGTTTTTTTTTTTGTTCTTGTTGTTGACTATCAAATGCTTTTGGACTCATTTTTGACTTTAATCATTCTTTTGTTTGCTTCAAGAGGGCGAGGCTATGTCGGATAACAAAAACAAAACCTACAATATGCACAAATCTGTTTTGTAAAAATAAAAATAGCAAATCCAGGGTAACGTTAAGACTTTAGCATCACAAGGTTTGTGATGCTGTTTTTAATGTTATTTAAAAGTTAACAAACTGCACCAATACTTGTCAAGTTAATAGATGCCTGATTGTGAATCAACAAGGCATTTTAGTTAAATAGAGCTTTACTCTCCCCAGATTACTCTAATGGTTCTATTTATTCAGTGAAAACTGACTGGTGATGTCAACCATAATACAGTATAATATGGTCCCTGCAACAAGCATTAGTGGCATATCTGTATTCTGTGTTTAAAATGTACATAAATAGGCAAATTCAAGAGACCATGTCAATACATGTTCTTTCAATAGGAGTAGACATGAATGTTCTTATTTTTCAGTCCATATACAAAGAGTGCAAAATCTTTTGCATGAGCAGAAGATCAATGGATACACAAGCTCCTTTGATATCCTCATTTTGTTAAGGGAAGTAAAGGTTTGAGTTCCTGTTTGGTTGATTGTGAGGGATTATCTGTTTCACAAAGCAGGGTCATTTAGCTGGGACTATCCCCACTGGTATTATATTTTTCCCATGAATTGGATTAATGTCTGGGCAGGTACTTTACTTTCAAGACCTTTTTAGTGACATATGACAGGGATGGTATATGTCTAAAGATGTATAGCATTTGTAGGAAGAAAATAATTTGTAAATTAATAATTCTTTGTGCAGCTTTTTTTTTTATTTTGCTAAGCACATTGCACATATGTGCTGAAAACAATCCAGCAAAGGCAGAAGCAGAGCCACTCCTCAGAATGAAAACAGCTGTCTAACCCATGCTACAAGAAAGCAAAGACCTAGCAAATTACCCGTTTTCTTTCCTCTCAGAATAGTTGAAATACAATTTGGGAAATGGAAAAGGTATAACCTTTCCTCATTGATCTTAAACACATTACTGCCTACCTTTGAAGTTACTCAAAAACATTTGTGTTTTTCAAGTTTCTACAGGGTAATTTTAGCTTAGTGGTATTTTTTTTAACTTCTTAGATTCCGAGGTTGTTTGTCGATGTCTCCTATCTAATTTGAAGTATTTTTTATAATGGTCCATATGTGTCAGAGGGAGGGACCTAAACCTTGATATAAATATAAAAATGTGAATGCACATGAAGTAGAGAGGAATTTCAAAGTACTTCTATGTTTTTTGTGTTTCATTTATTTTGGTTACAGTGATGATCCTCTGGGGCCATAATCAAAAGTCCAAAGGAAGATTGCTGAATTTATGATGATCCTTGTGATTATGTTAGAAAATTATAAAGAAATCAACCCAGAACTAATAAAACAACTATGTTCTTTGTTGTGCAACTGGATTTACCAATAAACAGATATAATACTCTCAACAGAGTTAATATCTAAATTCTGCCATTTTTAACATCTCCAATGGCTCCCCAAACATCAAACAAAAACACATCAGGAAAAGCAAAATCTCCCAGAACAGAATCCAAGGCCTCAGCAAAGTCATCAGGGTTCTTCTTGTCCTTGCCTGCTTCCACTATGGTGGTTGCTGCAGAGAAAAGTTGTGAGGTCAAAGCTAACATCAAGTGGTGTATATATCGTTCACCAACAAATGCGCATTGACAATAAAACATGCAGCTGAGTAATGAACTATGAATTTTCACTGCAGGATTTTGTAAAATGCAATACATTTAAGAAGTGCAATGAAAACATCTAATTTTGCATTGTGCCCTTTGGATCAGTGACATCACAAGAGACATAAAAGTTAAACAGGTCAGTCAGCATTTGTTATCCACAGGGCAGATTTCGACCTAGATTTCCAAGCATCTGACTTTCATTTGAGTTTTATGAGGTTCAGTTTTATGTGTTTGAGCCAGGATTGGACTTGAATGCAAGCAGTAACAGGGACAATGATCGTCTTAGAAACTTTAACGGTCCTTTTGATTGATTGGTTTTCATGGATAAGCACCAGCCTTAAAACGGTTGACCTATATTCTGCTTGTATCATCTTAAACAATGACCTGATTCACAGTGAAAGTGAACGCAGTTTGAACTTCAGAGATCTGATGTATTTGCAAATGAACTCTGGTGGCAGAGTTCATTTGCAAATACATCACAGTGTGCATTGTGATATATTATTGCAAGAGAAGTTTCTGTGCATAGGATCATGTTTTGATTTTATCTTCTTTTTATTGTTTTTTGTTTTTTTTAAATAAAACAAAATAGCAATTTGCTAAAATTCCAGGAAACTATTGTGAGAAGTTTGTGGTAGATAACCGAAAATGTTTGACCAAAGTCATGTAGCAAATATAATGCTACCTCATAAAGAAAATATATATAACTCTTTGATTCTCAAGACATTAATCAATAAATCTCTGACATATTCTTTCTTGTGTGACTGCAATATTTAGCAATTGTAAATAAGTTTTCTCATTCTAACTGACTTCAAACAAGAGACATTCAGTTTGATTTCACTTCAGACAGTGAGGAAAAAAAGTGATGTCTTTTTTTCTTGTGAAACGTTCTTGTTTGTGCACTTTGATACTCGTAACTGTTGATCCAAAGTAAACACTAAAATATGATGTGAAGCTATTTCACTTTTGCACTTCAACTTGCAATGCTAATATGTCATGTCTTTTTTATTGTGTGAACAGCTTTTACAATTTGTCAAATTCAAGGTTAAAAATGTGAAAGCAATATAAATGGACAAGAAAGTGCTAACATACTTTGGCAAAAAAAAAAAAACGGTTCCCAGTGGACACACTTGCATACAGATACGAAGTGTGGTTCCACTTCTTTAAACAGCATCTTAAAACTTGGCAAAGCATATTACACTAACGACATAAACCAGGATTTCTTGGTTTATGTTTTAGTATTTATTCTGAGCTCATCCCCTTCCAAGGCTTTAAATGTCAACATGAGGATAAAGTTTACACGAAGAGACATCAGTTTTATCTGTTTAGTCTTACCCAGCTCCAGGTCTCTGATCCCCATATAGCTCTCCAAGAGATCATCCACTTTCCTTGTGGCCTGTTCTTCAAATTCACTCTGCTAGTGAAATATATGGAAAAATAGAGACATCTGCTGAAATATGGTGACAAAGGTCTTTAGAAACTGCTATAAATTCTCTTGCCAAAACAGTTGAGGCCCAGAAAGGTTTTGTAGTTAGTTTGACTTTAAGTAATATAAATCTGTCCATGTTCATAGAGGACTGCACTACATGTGTAGACATGCTGGGCAGTGTTAAGAGTGGTTAAGAATGGTTGAATATGCACATAGTTGAAAAAGACTGATGAAGCTTTTCAACCTTCATTAAAAAAATTTTTATTGTTGGACCAACAAAACAGCTTAAGATTATGTTGGATCTCTGTAGTTCTGTGATGAAAATTTGTTTTATTTATGCTCCCTCAGGTCATTGCACTGTTGTTCTAATTTTCAGCATAAGCAAGCACATTTAAACAGAAAAAAGTAAAGTGACAGATTAAAAAAATAATAATTTATATGTCTATTTATAGATATATATTGAATGCTTTCTGATCACTTCAGGAGGCCTCAGCAGTCATTGTCTAACAGTTCATGTGAAACTCACCACTTCCTGAACTGTAGCAGCCCCTTTAGACCGAAGCCGAAGAGTTTCTCTCCCATTCACCAGCTTTCCCTCATTAGATTTTGGCGCTTTAGTTCTCATTCCAATCATGTCTAGTCACATAAACAGAGAGACTGTCATCAATAAAATCTGATTATTTTTGCAGTTTATGTTAACAAAAAAAATGTCAGCACTATCATCCAGTAACTTCTCTAACTTAGTCAACATCTTTTATCTAAAAAAAATTGCTGAACAAAAATGTTATTTTTACCACAAAACTGGTGTAATCGTTGTTTGCCATCTACTTTGGGTTCTGTTCTTATAATTTATAAAGAATACATTCTTGTGAGAGCAAAGCTGAACATCATCACACCTTCTTCCATATTTGGATGTCCACAGTTTTTGAGAGGTTTTCAAGAAGCGGTGAGACATTCCGCTTGGGAACAGTAAGGCGGTTTATTGCAGACATTGACAAATGTTCACACGGAAAGGAACAACCATGCAAAGGAGGCTTGAGCAGCATTCATAAGACATGATGCCTGTATTTATTTGTGTTGTACATTATGAATTGCTTCATTTTCTTATCATTGCAATGTATTCTTTCATGTTTTATCATATAGAACAACAAATTATATTGTCTTGTTGATGAAATGTGAAACAGCAAAAGTTTAATCTCAATTTTAAATAAACACATGCGCAGCTTTTTCACTACTGAGATGTTAAACCCAAAGTGTGCTAAATATAATTTGTACTGAGTGCAGGTGTTGTCTTTTAAATTGTGATTGAACAGTTTAATGTTTGCATGGACTTGAGGTATTTATATTTATTTGTTGATTATGGCACAACAACAAATGGTATTGCTAAATATGTGCAAATTTTATACCTTTTTTCTTAGCAGCACAGATATGTTGTATAATGGTATCTTGCTTTATTGTTGTTGTTTTTTGGGGGGTTTTGCATTCATTTACAATTTTGTTCATTTAAAACAGAGCATGTACCTCAGTCACACTTGTTTATCAGATAAAAGTACATTTTGAAAATAACAATCTTCATGTCGATGTTGAACGTACTTTACCAAAAGTCCACATTTTGGTATGAAAAAAAATTTTTTTTTTTTGATGTAATGTAATACTCTCATCTTAAATGTACTCTCTTCTTTACCTATCAGTGGAATATTATAATTGGCGAAAAGAAAGCCTTTAACATATAAGTATGAGTGAAATTAAATCTATTTAAAAAGTTCCACTTATTGTGTAAAATGCTGCCTGGTTTTCAAACATTTTTAGGATAATTATTTGTACAAATGTAGCACGCATGTGAATTATGGCCCCAGATTAATAGTCTACAACTACAACAAAAATTATTTGGGGTAAGTCTCATTGAAGCACTTATTCTAATTTAGAGTCTTTACATATTTTTCTGTTGAGGTCGAAAATGTATCTTCATCAGTACAATATATCTGTGACACAGAAATAAACTCCTGAGGTCAGCCGAGTTTAACGCATCAATAAGACTAGAAACAAATGACGGGATTCAAAACAGGAATATGGCCTTCTTTACTTATCTGTATGTGGGGGAGTGGAGGCTTTGCATGTTCAGGATTTTCCCAAGAGATTCAGCATTCCAACCAATGCAATTTCCTGCTCTCTAAACAACTCTAAACAATTGTACTCAAGCACCATACCAAGAAGAATCTTTATGTAACATACAGGTGTTGATATGCTTTTTATGTTGCTTTTTGGAAAACAGAAATCACTGGAGGTTGTAAAGTGACCAATGGCCTTGTGACAGGTAATATACAAACTAACAGAAGGTAAAAACAAAAACCTGTATTTTAGCCAACAAGCAAAGACAAGAGAGTTGTCACTCATTCCTTCATCTCCATGTTACTTTTGGTCATTTGCTGTTCTTGGAATTCCCGGACAACTAAACAGAATCAGTTCCCACAGATCGTGTTTTTAAAAAATCCTAACTTAGTCCCATTTGTACAGAATGAAAACTCCTGACCTATATATTATGAAAAAAAAACTGAAAGTGAATTGCTTATAAATTTTCTTTTTTGTCATAAAATTGTTTGTTTTTGTTTTCTATTAAGCTGAGGACATTATGTTCAGTTATAACGCCTGGACTTTTAGCCTGCTACTGTGGGTTGTTAGTTGTTTTTGGGGGGATTTTCTCAGCAAAGACACGGTCATTCCTGTTTACTGTCCACAGGTACTTTAATGAACAAGTATATTCACGAACAATGCACTTGGTTGCAAACTGGAGTCTCACTTAAGCAAGAGGCGACTTAAGATTCAGATCAGTTTCAGGAAGTCAGACAATACACTGGATTTACTTTCCTGTTTGATAAGCAACTGATTCAGTGAGAAAAGGAAACTTCTTAATGCTTTGAATGTTTTGAGCATGACAAAACAAATTAAAAATATATTAATCTTCTGACAGAACATTTCCTGCTCCGCATTAATAAGCTGGTGTTTTTGTGGGGAGCAGAGAGGAGTGGCAGAAGGGATTGCACAGACAAACCACAATGGACTGACTGATAGCTAGCTACACATGAACATCAGAGTGATTGTAATATTTTATGGAAACATCTACATGACAACATTCTAAAAAATGAGGACTTTAAAATGTACATAAACATTTTAAAATGTCAATATTTTTGGAAACCAAAAAATATAATCACCATAACTTATTTGAAAGCTTTTTCAACATACAATGCTAGAAAATTTCAGCAATTTTCTTGGTCTCAACCCAGCTCTTCCATTCAATCAAAAGAAGTGTTGCTTTCTATGCAGGATTTTATTTTGATATTTGCTTATTTAAAATTTTGGAATCAAAACATTAACAATGTTGTGGCTTAGTGCACACCTTATACAGCCAGTTTCTGAAAGTTTTTTGTGCTTTCATAAACCAGTAGATAAAAGGCTGAAAAAAACAGCACATGCTTTCATACTCCACTGCAAGCAACATGATTTGGATCAAATATTTATTGGGTCATGAACACTAGCTTGGTAAACAAGTTCTAAAAAATGAAGTACTTTGTATTCTATTTCTCTGTTTCACCATGTGTATTTGTCTCAGTGGCCATATATTAATCTAAATAGTGAGAGGCATGAGCCAAAAAGAAACACTGGGAGACTTATTGTCCACAAAGAAATCGTATTTAATAACAGTACCAGTTAAGCTATCTAGTTTAGACTTGTAGTTTGGGAGGCAAACTACAGGTATGTGTAATTAGAACTTAAAAGTTTAGTTTGAAATTAAAGAAAGAATTTTCTATGTAATCCAAACGTTTGGATGTTTGATGGGGCTTTATAGCGGAGCACAGACAGTACATCACTGTCAATTGATATACAATTATGAATCATTTTAGGCTGGTATATTTGTCTCAATAATTAGTGTTTTTTTACTCACCAAAGGCTTTCTTGGGCTCCACAAGTCGAAGAGTGAAAGGGAGGCCTCTTGGTTGCTCCTTTAGCATCTTGGCGACCTCATAGTGCCGACATCCTACGATGCTCTGGTCATTAATGGCTTCGATGTGGTCACCGACACAAACCGCCTTCAGTCGGTCAATGGTGCTGCCCTCTTTTATTCTCTAGAGAAAAAAGAAATGGTTACACTTGAAACTCCAAGTTTTCATATTCATGATCCAGGAACAAGATCAGTTTCTTTGTTCGTAATTACTTTAACTATACTAAAAGATTGGACTTTAAGTACAACCTTTTAGTACAGTGTGTTTCCTAATGACTTTAGCAAACAGCCATTAGGAAACAGGTTTTTTTATTTATTTTTCCTCTCATTCACCTTGATAAAAGCATATCCAGCTCCATTGTCTGTGATAGTGAGACCTAATGCATCCTCGGTCTTTGTCACCTCCACTTCTTTTGTTTCCCCTCTGACATGAGCAAAGATGAAGTCCTCCAGTCCAATTTGTCCTCCAAGAAGTTTCTGCATGTCCACTTTATGAGAGTTTAAGGTACAGAAAAGGATCTGAGGGCAGGATATGAAGAAAACAAATGCTTTTGGAGGTTCCCTGAATTCAGCATAAACTTTCATAAAACTGTATTTTTGTAGAAATTGCACATCACTGCAGAGTGCACTTGTATTAACAATCATGTTTATTTTTATATTGTAAAATACAAAATACCTTGGTCGACAGAGATGGGCTCATCTCTGATGGCATCTACTTTGCATGAGACAGGAAGGTTTTCCAATTTTACAACCAAAGCAGAGGCAGCTCTTTAGATTTTTTAAATTGCAGTATAGATTTTAAACAGCAGAGAGCAGCAGCGAGCCATATTTTGAACTAAAAGGATTTTTACTAACAAGGTTAATACAATACTAACAATAAATAGTAAAATAAATAAAGCATGTCACTGGAGATAAAAACACATGTTTATCATTACTGTAATTATACAAATAAATAAATGAAGAAGAGGTTTAATTACACTGAATACTCACCAAAGCATAATCACATTAGCTAATGCTGTGCCTAGGCATTAAATAAAATAGAGTATAATTCTATTAATGTATTTCAATAATTAATCTGATGAAAACCCAAAATTTGTTTACACAGGAAAAAACAGATTTTTCAATAAGCCCATTCAAATACAATGGTAGTTCAGAAATAGCATGTTTTTGCCTCCACGACATGGTCTAAACAGTTATGTGGCAGATTGCAACATAGTTGACCAGCAGACACTGAAACCTTCAGGGCATGTGTTATATGGTCATTATTTAATATGTTGGCTGCTTAGAGAGTGTTGAATTTGAATCTATGAAAAATTATAAGGAAGGAAAAAACCAACAAGTCATTCTAAAGGAGCCTCAAATCAAGTATCATTTGCAAATTTCTGATAGAAAAATTATTTCATTGCTAATGTCAGTTTTTTAATAAAATTACAAAGATCACTGTTGATAAATAGGAATGCAGTGATGATTAAATCTTGATAAGCATATTAAAATTAAAATTGATTACATTTTGCCTTATTTTACATTTTACTTTTAATAAATCATAATGTCATTCTCAGAATATTAAGGTTTTAAATTTTGACACAAATTACCTAAATAAACTTTTGATTATTTTGTAATTTATTGTGCAGTTATGTGTAAATCTGGCAATGATGTGAGGAGAATCTGAGTCTGCAAACTTTGCACAATTGATCTCATAATTTGTTGCACTCACATACTAAGATTTAACTCTTTTAAAGACGTATGTCCCCTTACTCATATTTTCATGTTTTAGAACAAACAACAATAATTACATCAGATTTTAACTTCAAGGTCAAGTTTTGTTCGAAAGTCCACAAAGAAAATTTGAGATAATTGAACAAAGTGTTATCTTGCAGTTGCTGATCAAAAGATTTGTCTCTGCGTGTCAGACTGTAGGGTTGGAGTTCAAGGTTGTCAGTCCAATGAGGTTCTACAGTAATTGGGGGTCAAAGGAATGGATGTATTTTATAGAATCAAATGTGGATTGCCATAAATCTATGGTGGAGTCTTGAATCTAGAAGTCTGCATGTGGTTCTGTAGGTTCTGCAGAAATATTGTTTGTACATGTTTCAAAAATTAATTAAGAAAAACTGATAACAACTGTGGGTTATTATTGGCTGATAAGTAATGTCAAATTATTAGGCTTAAGAGTTTATTCAAATTTGCCTCATATAACAACACAATTTCTAAGTTTGACATTTTTATTTTATTTTTATTTCCATTTTGTGTATTGCTTGCACTTTACACAGTAAAGCAAAGTAAATATAACCAATAGCAAAACAGCGACTGTTGTTGACTGCCTCACAAGAAAAACTGTTATCTTTTATAGCTATTACAGTACATTTTAAGATAGCAAATGGCCTTCAAAACTGATAAGCATTCAATATAAGGACAGTCTTGCTCAGAAAGGATTTTATTACTGACTGTGTCAATGTGACTTATGCACAACTCCAGAAACAATGCTGACTATTGGTTTTATGTAAAGTTATTGGTTTTATGTTGAGTTAATATTAATATTAATAATATTAATACACTGCTGATCTTGTTTACTTTTTAGCAAAGCATTTTCAGTGCCCAAAATATTATTTAGAACATTGCTTATAATATTGTCTCAGACTGATTCTTTGGCGTTCCCGCTGCTGCTGTATTGCTATTACTTTATTGCAGTATATCAAAAGCTATTATATTCATGTGAATATTTAAAATTTTGAACCAGGCTGAACTTAATATTGAAGGTAAAGGACCCTCACCACCTGACACCACACCTGCTCTGGCTTGCAAATATATCTGTTGTTATAAACTTTTTCACATGTTGTCATGCTACAACAACACAATTAAATGAAAGTCATTGAGATACATAAGATCACATTGAAGACTTTTGTAGGAAAATGTTACATGACTTTTCGATTGTCCAGTTTTGGACAAATGCAGTCCAAAGCTGTATTTATCCAAAGCTGGTCGAATACAGCTTTGACCAGCTGTATATATTTTGTTTATATTTTTTATACATTTTGTATACATTTTACAAAGGCAAAATTTTACCCATTTTGCCTTTGTAAAATGGATAAAGCTAGTCAGATTGTATGGAACAAGAACATTAATTCAAGCCTTGGTACAAATGATCAGTTCTATTTAACTATGAAGCTTCACTGGGCTATTCCGATCCACGATTTATCTAAAACTATTAAATTGTATCTCTGATTGTATCTTTAGGGTTGTTGTCTTGCTGAAAGGTGAACCTCTGGCCCAGTCTTAAGTGTGTTTGCATTATCTACCAGGTTTTCTTTCAGAAATTTAATGTGCTTAGGTCAATGTTTAAAAAAATCTTCTACATCTAAGTGAGAGTGTTTAAGATGTTGTGCAGTGTTGATTTTGTGCCACACATAGGCCAGTATTTTCTTACATATCTGCTTACAACTGTTCCATAAAGGGTAGGGTTTTGAAGTGGACAGTGCCTAAAATAGGGATATCTGTAGCTCCTCTAGAGTTACCACAGGCCTTTTGGCTGGTGTGTTCCTTGGTCTTTATTATCATTATTGAATTAACAGCATCTGAGGCTACCACAGAAAAGTTTGATTTATGCTAAAGTTAAATTGCAAATAGTGAAAAAGTTTAAGGAATGTAGGCATTTTGTACAGAGCTTATGGTCTTCTGATGAAAGCCATAAGCTAAATCATGTTGGTCTGGAGATAAAGTTATTTCTTATTACACATCTTGCTAGAGACTTCACCTCACCTGTATTTAAACAGTTAGCATCATTTCCCATGGGATAATTTATATGAATCATGACCTGGTTATGTTTTAGTTTAAAGTCCAACGTGTATATTCCTGACATACATAAATGTCTGAGTGAGTGCTTACTCATTATGGTAAATACACTTTATGTAGTTGTTTGTTTCCACTATTGAACCTTATCAGCTTATATTAGTACAAAGTCTGGTGTTGGAGAGTGGAGATAATCAATAAAACTAGATAATGGAAAAAAAAGCCCTAGAATGGAAACCTAACACCTTTTTACAACTGGCCAGACAGAGCAGAAATGCAAGACAGCAATCAGATAACGTTATGAAATTTCTTCCAGTTTAATCATTTTACCTCTGACGGAGAGATGTTGAACACCTCTGCGATCTTGGCATACAGTTCCTTGACATTAGTGAATCCATGAATGCGCCCTGTTGGGCTCCCATGAGCCAGCTGGGTGTGGAAGATGAGCCTGGGTCTCGGGTACTCTGGAGGCCCTGCTGATGGCGGTGATGGGGGAGGAAGCGGAGGAGCTGTGGGCTCCATGCATCCCTGATTCTGGCAAGGGGCCTTGTGGTCCTTCATGGCCTCATCCCTCAGTGCCTTGGAGTCCTGCGGGCTCATACCCTCCCCGTTCTGCATCGGTCCCAGCTTGGGTTTGATCCACCCTACCGGTTAGCAGCTATAATAAAAAGGAAAAACTGTGCTTACCTACACTTAGTTGCCCAATCACCACATTCATCCAACCACCCAAGGCAATGGTGGTGAGGAAAACAAATAAATAAGTGATGAGAGTAACCTGGTAACATTATATGAAAGAGGACAGCCAGACCCTGCCTGGGAGAAACCCAACACCCTCTGAATTTAGGATTGTCTGTTGCACTTGAGCCTATTTGAGCTCACACACAGAAAATAACAGTAAAAGACACCAAATAAAATATAACCTTTGACCCTCCATATATTAAAAGCTGTATACATGCCACGGACATGACCTTTCACATATGATCTGAAGTATGAAAATGTCTAAGTCTGAGTAAAATGACTCCCACACAGGCCAACAAAGACAATGCTCCAGTGTTCCTGGTAAGATGATATCTGGGTAGGCAGTGAGGTGTTCCTGCCCACTGGCCTAACTGAATGAAAGAGGTTGTTGCCAGGGCAAATTCTTGATGATGTGCTGACCTTTATGACCCAGCCCACAGAAACAAAACGACCAAACAAACAAAAATACCATTTTAAGCTATCCGGGTTTGATAGTTTGAAATCCCCTTGTCAAGGGGATTTCTATTTTTAATGGGAAAACAACTGATCCTAGTTTTCTCTGTAAATTTGTCATGAAAGGTCACAACAGTTATATTTTGCTGGTTTCACTCTTTCATAGTGACCTCCTGCCCTTACTGTCATATTTTACCCTCTCATGAAATGCAGAACCACTTTGAATTGGGAGATTTTCCTGTCAGGACAACAATTTTTCTGCCTCTCGAATCTGGAAATTCCACAAAAATTCCAGATTTCCTTGTCAGCTGTGAATGTGTCATTTGCATTATTTCAAACTCAGATCCCCTTGTGTACACACACAGCGAAATGACACATTTTCTTTTTGATAAATGTAATTACTAAGTTAAAATATCTTGTGTACATTGTTGTTTAGGAGTTTTTTTATTAAATTATTTCATTTTATTCATAATAAATTAATGAATAATTCATTATAAATTAATGAATTATTCATTCATATGAATGAATTATTTATTCATTCATTCAATATCATAAAATGAGAATGTGTACTGATCTGAAACAACGGTGATATTGCAGAAATATACTCCTAAATAAACAAAATTTATCCCTTCCAACTTGAACCATAAGCATATTGATGCACCTGTGATATAAAGTCTGCAGCTGCAGTTAGAAGAGTGTTACAGCCTTGGATTTCCAAGCCAAGGAGTTGTCTATCCAACAAGGTCCTACAACTCTTACAAAGGTCATCAAAAGATGTTTGTAAAATGAGAAGCTGGTAGCAAAACAAACTTTTTTTATTTGCTTAGAGTTGTGGTCAGATGGAACATCAGACTCAAACAAGCTCCTTTCTGCCCAATGTTTATGTATGACCTTTACTGGAACATGCAAAAACAGATGATTAGTCAGAATATTACTGGAGACATCCAAAACTGACATTAGATTCCAAAGGTCTGATAATATTCAGAAGAAAAAAATTATAGTATTTACACACATTTTAAATGTATTCTTTTCCAAAACAGAGAATAACCATCATCAAGATACCAGTGGAAACATAAAAAAGCTGTTAATAAATTTAAAGTAAGTATCTCATTGCGATATTACCTATGAAGATTAGTTTTATTATTACAAAGCATACAAATAATTAGTATCACTGTTTTCAAAGGGTTTCCTTTTTTTTATAGCCAGTGAAAAATATCCACAGATCTTATTTTATTAAAATCTTTAAGTATATTTTGTCATTTTAAAAATGTAATCAGCAAAAGTAAACAAAAGCCACTCAGTGGTGTTTTAAACAGAAACAAACAATGAACAAAGAATGAACAATGGTTGTATATACAAAGTAAAAGTATGTCTTATATTTGGAAAGGTACACATTAAATATTTCTTCTTTTTTAAATGGTCTGCTTATTGGCTCTAGAGAGATTGCTTTGTTTTGTTTTAGCCTTTTTGCAAATATTAACAAGACAAAGACAGGTCTAACAACTAAGTCTGCAAATATTAGTGAAAAGTGTAGTCTTACAGTACATAATGGCTTTGCAAGGCCTGCAGAAAGCACAAGGTAGTTTGAAGTCTGACAATTTACAGCTGGTATTTATTTAGGTTAGCAAATTATTAGTATTCTTTACTTTCCACAACTGGTTGAGATCAATATATGCTGCAATAAGATTCCCTCCTGAAAGTTGTGTAGAATAACAGAATAGAAATGTCTCACAATTATGTATTGCGGTGGGGAAATTCTGGTATAACACCAGCTTTGGTTAAAAAATAAATAAATAAATAAAATTTAAATAAATAAATAAAGACAAACAATAAATAAACTAAATTAAGAATAACATGCGGTTATTCACACAGTATTCAGTTTGACGAGATTGCAACTTAAACATACTGTGCCTATGTTTAACAGTTTAACAGTTGCTGGGAGGAAGGATATAAGGTGGTGCATTTTGGATGCTACATTCTGTCTCTGAAGGAGCTCTCTAGTCCAGAGACAGCGTCATTACGCATAAGACGTAAGATTTTTATTCGTCATTATGTTTCTAGAACATAGCGTAATTGGACAGTGACAGAATTTACAGTAACTTACTGGCAGCAGGGTTGCCAGCCAGTTACTGTAATATTCTCTGTTTATATCTTTGTACAACTGTTTATAAATACTTATATCCTGTATAGCACTTCTGGATAAATGTAAACTACATTTCGTTGCTTTGTACATGTGACAGTGCAATAATAATAAAGTTGAATTCTATTCTATTCTATTCTAATTTTTACAGTCAAAAAATTACAGTAACTTTACATTGTTAATAAAACAAAAGTACCCAAATGTCAACGTGTCCAAACTGATTTTATCACGTTTTCGATTGAAACATGAAATTATTGGGTTAAAAGTACATGATATTCAAAGTAAATTTTTTTGAGTGTACAGAACATTTTATGATTGATCCGTTTTTTATTCCCCCAAAGCTCCTGGTGCCAACGACCTCCAAAAGTTCTCCCTCTGCTGCCAGCGTCCCTGGAATTGATGGTTTGAGGCTTAACCTTAAAAGTAAAGATTTCTTCGTGGAGCTCATCATTCTTCGCTTTATGTCTTTCCAGTTCTTCACTTTTCTCTGTCAACGAGGCCTCTGTGTTTTCTCTTACTGTTTTAAGTGTCCGTTTGAGGACTACATTTGATCTAATCATTGCAGCACAATCTCTGAATTTTTTATCTGGTTTGCTCCAAGTCTAAATCAAAAGTCCTAATCAGTTTTTTAACCTCTTCATTTTGAGTTATTAGCAACTCATTTTCGATTTCCCAGCTCCTGGCATCGTTGTTTTGGCTTTGAGAAAAGTGCTCAATTTTCCTCCTAAAATTTTCAACAACTATTTTAAGCTCCTTGTTCTCTCTCTTCTTTAAAATGTCTATTTTTTGCCAGCAAGAAATCATTTTCTGGCATTGCATTTGCTTTTATTTATGCTTGGATTTATGCTTTAAAGAAATTCTTCTCTGCCATTGCTCTTGCTTTCTGTGGAAATGAGTCTGAAACTGAAGCTTTTTAAAAAAAAAAAAACTTTATTCACAGATACAATGTACAACGACAGAATGAAACATTTATTATGTCTTAAGAAAAACGCAAGAATAACAGATGAATACAGTCGTGGGTGAACAGAATAAAAAGAACCAGAGTAAGCACACAGCCCCCTGGTGTGGCTGTATTGAGGAGCACTGCTGGCTTTCCCAATGTCTCCCACCCCACATTGTTCTGTCTCCTACCCCCTACACTGGAAACAGCTGAGCAATCAAAGAACTGGCTGTCCTGATGAGATCATCTAATCATTCCCTCTCAGCTGATAAGCTGAGGGGAAACAGGAAACTGTTGCATGCATTGAGTAATAAACAGTGAAACTATATGGTTTTTCCTTTAAACGTCATCATCATACCTAATAGTTATCTTTAAAAAGTACAATAGTCCCTGGATTAGTTTTCGACGTGTCATGTCAACTACATTGATATCATTAGGGTGGTAGCTTCTGTGTAAATTTAGGTGAAGATTATCTTTCTCAAGAATACATTGATGTTTCGTAAAGCACACCCTCTTGATGGCTGACAGAAGATGTAAGGCTCATCTTCCAAATATGAATAATCAAATTCTATTAAACCAGCTGACACATATGAGAGTGGGATTTTGTGTCATGGATCCAAGGGAGGTTGTCTGTTTTGCCCAATTAATAATTTATCCGTCACGCTGATGATTTAGCACAGAAAAGCCTGCTGACTCCTACGCTGAATCCACGCAACCCTATTACACTCTTCCTCGAGAACTGTGCTTTCCTTTTCTGTATGTGCCTTGTCTCGTGGCAGTCCGGATGCAGGGAAAACCATCATCTGCCTCTGAGAGCCAGATTGTGTGAGGGTGGTGTGTATGCTTTGTCATGAGGCTACACACTGCCTCTTCTGCTCCTGGTGGTGCCTCTCAGGCACTACCAGGAGAGGAAACTAAACTAAAAGAAGCTTTCATTGCTAATATTTCCTCAACTTTTGTTGAACCTCTATTTGATGAATACCTTTTTTGTGTTCAAGGTCTTGTCCTTGTGTGCTAAACAAAGTTGTGTTTTAACCAGTATGAACATAAAGTTCAGAGCATCATCTATTATATCAACATGCTTTGATCTAAATCATTCCACTTCAGTTTTTATCATCCAACACATTCTGCTTCCCAGTCTCAGGTCTTGTAAAGTATCAGTACTGGTTGTCTCCAGGTACTGCCTGTATTCAGTTCAATCGTGATCATCTTCCCTGCTCCTTTTGTGGATTGTCAAATTTTGCAACACATTGCATATTGTATGTAAGCCAAAAAAGTTCAACATTGGCATTATCTGACCAAAGTATGTAATTTCTGCATTCAAGTTTGTGAAGTTGTGACAAAGTATGAAAAAATTCAAAGAGTATGATAGCTTTTGAAGGTTACTACATTTTCAAGCCTCACATTCTGTAAGTTCTGCTTTTATTGGAACCGCTAGTCGCACCTTCCAGGCAGAGGTTAAGGTTCAGGGTCAACCTCTGAAAACAATTAAACAACTTCCTCAAGGTTATTTTTATTACTTACTGTCAGCAGGCTTCAACTGCAATATAAGTGTAAAGTCAGTTGACATAATGCACCTGGGAAGCATAGTATTTGAACAGTGAACACTAGTGACAAGCAAACACTCACATTACAGTTTAATTCAACTGACAGCCAAATGTTAAATATCAACCGACTTGTAAAAACATGAAATAAAATATTAATAGAAGAAAAAGAAAATAAGTTGGATTCAATACTACTACTAATAATAATAATTATAGTAGTTATATTATTTATATTCATAGAAGAAATTTTAAAAATGATATTAAAGTTTAACAAGTATTGATATAGACTTAATAAATAGTAAGTACCAAATTGCACAAAGTGCCCCACCGGAGACTACACTTCTTTGCCAGGCTTTATTGTGATGATATAATAACATAGTATTTTAAACAGGATTAACACAATCTCTTGGTTGTCTATTTTTTTCTTAAAATATGTTGAATGAAACTACCTCCCCTGTAATTATATCAAGCCCGGCTGCTCTCTTTTTTTCTACATCTCCAGACAGTTAGACTAGGACAGCCTAGCATTGTCATATAAGGCAATGGGCGGTCTATGAGAACCCAGCCTCTTCATTCTGATTGGCTGTCTTGTCTGACATGACTTTTTTTTCTTCTGGCTTCGCTGCTTCTGATTGGTCTTCTGACTTGGTCCGATTTAAGGTCATTATCTTAATCAGCAGTGGATGAAGTGAGGAGGTGGTGGGGGTTAAAAAAAAAAAAAAAAAAGCAGCAGAAACCAAATAAGATCGGTGGAGTTTGGCGTGGAGAGTCGTCTCTACGCGAACCGACGGACCACCACCACTGGCTGAGGGAAGAATGCTTGAAAACAAGAGAGAGAGATTGAAAACCTTCCTCAGGAAGATCGATGAGAAGGCCATTGTCAGACTAAAGCACTTCATGAAGGAGAGGTAAGCGGGATGAATGTTGCTGGCTGATCCGCTATCTGCCGGGTGAGCGCCACCCTGGATGTTGAATGCCGTTGTTTAACGGTTATTTGCTAACAATAGTGAGTATTAATAGTTTGATTCTGGCGTCTAATGTAATGTGCACTTGTATTGAGGCCTGTTAAATCTATTTTACGACTGAAAAGGACGCCTTACTAAGTAGAACAAACTGCTAGCATGCTAGCCATCCGCCTGGCTGAGGATGTGGTGGTATTTAACTAAGCTTGAGGTAACCTGCCTTGTCATGGTCGGGTAAAGTCAAATAAAGGATGATTATATTTTAGTTTTTTTTTTTTTGCTTGTTTGTTTTTGTTTTGGTTACTGTTGTCAGATTTCCCCATCTCCGCCTGATAATATGTATTTGAAAGTATACACGATAAATATTAGAAGTAACTGTCATGGTTGATCATCATTCGACTTCCCTTTTTTACGATAGTTCACGAACACAACAGTGGCTGACCCAGATTTGGCCTTGTTATTTTTATCCACAGGAGTACCTGTGTAATCCGGCCAGTTTAAAGAAGCATCATTGCTGGTGGGAAATGTGCATAAACAAAAGCTCGTCCAGATTTAGTTGGTTACTAATCTCGCCTTTACCTGCTGCTCAGACGCAATGACATCAGAAGCCTGCTGGTGTGGGTCAGATTATCATCATCATTTGTTTTCTCATCATTGCTGATTCTGGCTTAACAAGTGTCTAGCCCTGCAACAGTGGATTTACACAACCTAACATTTACTAAACAACCTCCTCCTAAAACTCTCCTGATAGGAGGGGGATTGTGTGTCTTCTCTCTGCTCTCAAGCAACAGTTGCCTATCAAATGAGACAGTTTGTATTTTCGTAGAAAATCTATTTTTAGGCCACATGAGTAAAGCACAGGTGGTACACTATGTTATATAAATGCTCTCCCATGTCATACCAGTTATTCCGCTGACGTTCTGCCCCATAGATAGCCATTTGGAGGTGTCTGACAGCACTTTCCAATCAGAAGTGGCCTGCTAGTTATCAGTAATGTGCTGCGTGTGAAGTGTGGTATGGTGGGTGATAGTCCTTGTGAACAAAACATGCATTCCTGTGCTACAAATGGTTTTAATGGCACATGGATGCCATAAAACATTCGATGTTATCCATTTCTTTATACACACACAGCAGGGTTGTTTTGTAAAATGCATGCTACTTTATGGAAGTGAATACAAAGGAAGCTTTAATTCTGAACATTGGCTAGCTGGCTCTTTCTAAGATGCTTTGTATGCAGACCTGCACAACACACTGTCAGAAAATTATGAATTGCCCTGGTAATAGCAAATGGAGCGAGTCCAGCTGCAATGTATGCAATTGGAGGATTCTGGAATAGGCTGGGTGTGGCAGCTTTGCAGGTTCCAGGAAGATGCTCCCAGGACACATGGCGCAGCTGTGGGCTGCAAAGTCTCTGTGGGTCTTAATCATATATGTGCCAGGCAGAGAGGGTAAACCTATGTCGAAAATGAAAACCACAACTGTAGAACTGTTTATCACTTAATAACCAGTTGCAGAGAATCGAACTGTTCATGGCTGAAGTTCTGGGTAGTCTTTCTGACTGCCGTTAATGACTGGCTGCTCCAACGCTCTTGTCGCACAACCAGGAAACCTGCAATATTCTTCTTGGGTGCTTCACCTTCTGAGCCTGCGTGAGAATTTTATCCACCGTCACTAAAACGCATGCAAAATCCAATGATGTCGCAATATGGAGGTGGTCAGACAATGTTACAAATTATATTTCATAGACACAATCTTAAGAACAAGCAGTGAATTCAGTTTGTTTACCTATTCTACCTTTAACTCCTCTGCTTTCATTCTTAGTGTGAAGGACAAAGGCAAAAGGAGAAGGGTGTCAGAATAAAATCAAGTATGTGAAATTTGAAGAAGGAGATTTGGGTGTTTTATTGAGAAACATTTCAATACCTTGGCATCAGTTTCAATTGAGATTTTTTTTAATCCTCATAGGCTTCCTGAAATATATCATATCTCTTTGTTGTGGTTTTGTTTCAAAGAGCCAGAGTGTAGTTCATCTTTTCTTCCAGTAAACTTAGAACAATGTCTCTCTTTTTTCTTCTTCTTTTTTTTATACACAAACAGAAGTAACTGAGTCTAATAGCTTTTATTTTTCAAAGTTATGATTATATCATAAAAGTGAAGTTATTTAATCAGCAGAAAGGAGCTGTTTTATACTCATTCAGCTGATATTACTACTGCTTTATGTATGCCCCCTAATATTTACAGATTAATCATTTTGCTGTCATTCAGCATGCAGTATAATGAATTTTGCGTTTTAATCAGTATTTGACTTAATTTAGTGGCGGCTCATTTTGAAGCTTTTATTTTTGACTTCAAAACCAAAAATAAGGACTTTGCATTCAAAGATTAGAAGCAATCAATAGCCTTGTGAGCTTTTTCAACCCTTCTTACTACGTTACAATGCATTTTCCCTGTTCATACGGCTGCCTGCTGATAGTACAGTCACAATAAAGAAAGACGCTCTTTCTGGTTCCAGTTTTCATGGAGGAAGTACAGGGACTCGTTTCTGGCTCTAGGCCACGTGACTTCCTACTCTAAAACACACAGCTGCACTTATTCAGCAACACACACATAAACATTCCCTATTACACTTGGGAGACATGCAAAGTTTTTTTTTTTTTTTTGTCCTGCTGAGTGCTGGAAGGCTGCTGCCGAATGTTGCAGTGAAAACTGGATCCTTTCTTTGCCCTTATAAACAAACAAAGAAATGTAACACAAACTAAAATATGTTTCTTAGTTGACCAAATGTCGATTCAATTTCTGTGTTTTTTGTACCCCAGCGCCCCTCCAAAGAAAAAATAAAAAAGTGACAGAGGCCTTATAATTAGGTACAAATTATAATATGCATGCTGTGATGAAATAGATTCTTGCTGCATGAAGAGAAATTAATAATTTTGAAAAGGATTGTCCTCAGCTGCCCACAAGATGGTGCTGTCACACTTTGTGGTTTCTGTTTATTTTTAAACATTTCATGGGTGTCAAGTCTAGTATTTATGGTCAGACGCGAACCTGAGAGCCTCGCCGTGTTGTTATTGGTCATGGGAGAGCTCTCTACTTGGAAAAAAAAAAATGTCTTCAGGGTGCTAGCGTGGCAAACCAGCTGATGAGGCTGGTGTCTGTGGGAGGGCCTCTGGGATCATCTGTCTCAACTCGGGACAGAGAATTAAAGCCACAGATCTCCACATCTGAGGGAATCCTCCTGATCACTTGAATTCTCGCTGCTGTATAAATTAGTCAGAGACCCGAATTTCTAATCACGTTGTAAAAACTTTTAGGGGCTGGATTGTCTTTTAATAAATGGCAAATATTTTTAGAGTGTTTGAATAAGCAGTATGAGCCCATATTGCAAACATGTTTTTTTGTTTTTGTTTTTTTGTATAAACTGTTCTATGCAGTCTAAATTTATCAAGAAAAGAAGTTACGCAGTCTATCGTCAAATTTAAGCATGATTCTTTGTCCAACATTGACGCACGTATTTACCCTCTCAGGCCAACTGATCCCTCATTAAACTTTTGTTTACTTTTGACTGCCTTTCAGATTGCACGAATGCATAATGTTTTATGTACTGAGGCCTTTATGTAGGATGGTTAAATGATAAACATTGTCCTTTTTTCATTTGTTTAAATAGATGACATGTGACCTTATACTGGTATTGCAATGTTTGTATGTTGAACAGATGGGTCCATGCTTTAAAAGGTCTCAGGAATATGGTCATGAGCATTTCTGTAATGTTTTTGTGTTCAAATCTATTTCTGACTTTGACAGTGAGAATCCTGTAGGTGATTGTCACATGTTTGCACTAGAAATGTGGCAAGTATTGTTGAGACGGTATGAGTGAAGTAACTGATATATGATGACTGAAATAGATTGGTGTGACGAGTGCAGTTAGACTATCTTAAGACCTTTGATTATGTCACGTTTACGGAAAAAAAACGTAATAGAGGAGCTAATTTTTATATATTCAGATGATTCAGTTTACTGCATTTCCTGGACATGGGTGTTATTCTTTGGAGTTTCTCCTTTTTTTTTGTCAAACTTAAGGCATTGGAGCTTGTGCTCTGTGGCCTCTAATACTTCTGCCCTATTCACTGATAGAACTGGGACTAAGTTAGCTATTGTTGTGCATATTGCCTTTGCTGCAGCTGGGCCCACATCATGTTGCTAATGAGCACAGGGTATTGAATTGTGTAGTTTAGTATTCCAGCCTGAAGACGACCCTACAATGTTGCTTTCAACCCCCACATTTCCACCGGCTCACACTGAGCATTTCCACAACAATGCGGCTTAATTCGACAAAGACCGTGGCTGAGAGTGTATTTTTGGGGGTTTGAAACAGAATAATTCTCTTTTTATCAAGGTGTTGTTCCGACCTCTTTTCCTGGCTTTGGCTTTATCTTCATGCTTAGTGTCCACTTCCTTTCAAAGGTTGCAATAAACCAGACCTTTACTCTCCGTTAAGATAGATATTGAGGATATAAGTACAGAGGTGCTGGGATATTGTCACTGAGTTGCTTGAGGTCGAACGAAGCAGCAGACTTTTACGTTGGTGAAAATTTAGATATGGAGAAAGGAAAAGATTTGCTAAGTGAACAAAGCACTTTGGATGATTCTAACTGTCCTGGAGATTTAAGTGGGTAAGTCAAACCCTTATACTTATTATGACTAACATTTGCAACTATCAGAATGAACAGTTGACATGTCTTGAGGGCTTTTTTTATATTTGAGGATATTGAAGGGAACAGAATACCTTTTTTTTTCTCCCTCTTTTTTTCTTTTCTTTTGACTTTAATAATCTTTTTTTGTTCACATAACTCAGTAGATAAGCTCTGGTGAATAATAATATTAACCATCTATTGTTGGCTTTGTTTTTTCCTAAAATGTTACCAGAACAAATGCAGATAAATGATCCCAACTAATATGTTTCTTTAGTGATAATCTGAGAACACAACATATCAGGATTTTCTGTTCTACACAAGATAAATTGTACTTTTTGTAAATATGCAGTTCTGTCTAAATTGTAATCTTCAGCTTCTTTTTATGTATATAACTTTTTTTAACAGTACTTTTTTATTATTATTTTAAAGTAGAAATAAACAAGTCTGGATTGTTAATGGGGATTTTTTTTTAAACTAGGCAGTGTGGGTTGGTACTTTAGGGAAGTAGGTCAAAGGGTAATTTCCCAGCATGAAGCAGACCCGCCCCCTATGGGTCTCCGCCTGCTTTGTAAATGTAAAGTGGTAATTAAGTGACACCAATGTTATGGGTAACATGGGTTGTTTCATGCTTTTGACTTCCATATAGGTGTTTTTTGGATTGCACCAGCTCCTTACTATTTGGAATTAAAGACACATTTGTACAGTTGTTAAACACTTGTTTTGTTCAACAACAGCAGCACTTCAGTCAACCAGCAAGAAATTAGAATCAATTTTACCTTGATCGTCTGTGATCAACATTTTAGAATCATTTCTCTTTTTTTATTAAATGTATAAAGATGAATTACTCTTTACTTTGACTCTTTGGCCCCATCAACCAGCAGAATAAACTTAAAGTACTTTTTTTTTGTTAGAAGTGAATGTGTCAAAATTAGAATCCCGTGAAGCAAAACTGAAATTCGAAACTATCTTTAAATATGTAAAATTTGATTTCTTGAATGTATGTCCATATGCTTTCAAGGCAGGTGGTTTCATTATTATGAGATGTATAATCATCTCATATCCTATATATTTTTTTTATTCAAGGAGTTTAAATATTGAACTCTACAGAGATGAAAAATGTCATTAGAAACTGTAACGCAACACGTGACTTTGTGACAAGTTAACCTCCAATTACAGAGCATCTTGGAATCAGGCACGTTATTTACTTGCATCATGAAACAACTGTTAGTTCTGACTGATAAAGAGAAAATTACTACATAGCTGATTGTAGTGCAGTCCAAGAGCTTCTGTTCTTCAGGCTCCTCTGTTAAGCAGAAATGGGTCAGGTGATGATATCTAATCGCATACAACTAGCTAACGGTTAAACACTGATTACTTAATTGTCAAGTTTTTGTTGGAACTTGACTGTCAGCAGCTTACTCACACTGAGACTGTAGGGGAAAGGGGAGGATTGCTCAAAGTGGCTGTCTGGAAATGAGATGCAGCCACAAGCTTCTGAAATATTCTTTAAACTCATTTGATTGCTTTACATCAGTTTCTCACAACTAGTTTCCTTTGTAGAGCTTTAGTAAAAGTGACATGAGCCTCCTTCCTCATGCTTTGTGACATGGTTTCCATTTAAGAGCTGTGAAACAAGTTTCACTGAATGTCTTACAATATTTTGAGCACTTAATTTGTTTCCGGGTTTTTTAATTATTATGTGAGTGACAGAGGCACAAGAGTTGTCGAGCAGGATTGTGTCTGAGACCGGTGGGAAAATGTTTTTACTCTTACATTTTTAATGTTGAGAATAAATAAATGCAACATAGTTGATCAGGCTTATTTTACAAGATTTTAGCTACAGTCTGTTTACAGAGATTGTTCTCATCTCATCTCTTAAATCAAAAGATTACATGAGGTAGGAAATGTGCCTGTAGGTGGGATTCTATAAACCTCTGGTATGTCAATGCCTTCTCTGCATTCATTGCATGTCCTTGAGTGAGAAAGGGAGGGGAGACGGCACTTTGCTCTGTTTATTGGCTGGTGTTTTTCACGCTTCTTTTAGCTTTGGGGGAGTGTCTGGGTTTTGACGTCAGCCAGTTACGGAGTGTCACACCACCCTCAACACAAGTGGCTGCCTTTGAACGAGCACAACACAGCTGTAGGTGTTTCTGGCAGGACGTGGCATAGGAGTTAATTGGTTTTGTAACTTTGCTACACACAGGGCTTAAAATCTATCTTTTCATCTTATAGTTTAGCTTACCTTTGTTGGCGTTAACAATTGGTAGCACAGGTTTCTTTTCTAACAATCTGGAAGAACAGGAAATGCCTACTGTTGGTAGGTATATGAGTTTCCGTTCATCAAAGCGATTGAAAGTTAGCAGGTAAGTCGGGTTTTGTAGTACTGAACTTAAATTTTCTCTTTTGTTTTCATCTTTGTCATGAATTCTTCCTTGTATGCATTTTTATTTTGATAGTGTCATGGTTTTACTTTCATGTAAAGTAAAACCAGCTTTATGAATTCAATACATTGTCATTCAGCTGACCACATCGTCGTGCTGTATTTCTACTTTGTGTGTTCCTGGTCAAGGACAGGCCATGGTCTTAAAAAATTTATTGACTTTTGTAATCCGGCAGCCTTGCTTTTATAGCTTTTTTTTTTTTTTCTACTTCAAGTTTTTCCAACTTAACAGTTTGGAAAGCAGCCAGTAGGTCCCTTTGAGCGCTGACGCAATGTGTGCCTATAACATTTTTCATTAAGAGAAAGGATGACCATTTCTATCTCATCGTAAAGATAATTTTGTCGTCTGTCAAACAGGAGTTATGTCTCCTCTGTGTTGGGAACAAGGTGGATGGCTTTAATAAGCTTGTTGTATGACTGTAAAGCAAAATCAGACTAGTTGGTTAAGAGACTGATGTGGTTGTTGGAAAAAGGAATTTAAAAAAAATTTTTTAAAGAAGGCGATGTTTGTGGCTTAAATTTCTGGATGGTGGTTTTCATTTTAAATAATAAAAAAAAGCTAGAGTTCAAATGAGAATATTGTCTTCTCTGCAAAAGGGCGTAATGATATCAGACTCGTGTTCCAACTTGTGCATCGCAGGGTTGTGAACATGAAAGTCGTCATGCTGTGGCATGCCTGTCTTCGCAGCAACTCTCCCACAGACACTTGTGTGCTCTTCTTATTTCTATGAAGATATGAGCAATATATACATATATACTGATCTGTGCTTTTTCCCATGTCCAGCAGCTACCCTGTGGAGAGTGGCGGGCTGCCAGCCAAAGCCAAGAAAAGCAGGAACAGCCAGAGCAATGGCGCCATCAAGAAGACCGAGGCGAAGAAAGCCTTGAGTTTAGAGACTGCTCAGCTCGAGCTCCAGCAGCAGCACAAAACCCTCAGCAGACAAATCGCCGTCAGGTAAGATTGATCAAGAAACCCACTGCACTTAACAGAAACTCTTAAAAATATATATTTTTAATGACTATTTTATGAAAGTGTCTGCTGTTGTAAATGAATAAATCACCTTAACTTTACATTTAAGGTAAACTGTTCTGTTAAAAGTGCTTTCAGTTGACTCTTGGAGGCATAAATCTGATTTTATTATAAGAGGAGTTGTAGATATTTTCCGCTACTCATACCATGCGTCACAAGACATGAGCTGACTCTCAGCTGCTGTTCAGTCATGTAACACGTGTGACTGCACAGCCATCTCAAGTAGACGGATTCTCATGCTAAACTGACCTTGAGTAAAAAACAAAAATTAAGATGATTATTGCAGTAAAAATGTCATTTATAGCACTTATTTACATCGTTGCATACTAAATTTCAGAAAGTAACTTTTTGTATTTTTATTTTTTTTACAAAACATATCTGCTTTGATTCTCATCTGTGCTAAAGTATCACTAAGTACCTATTTTAGTTAGAAGACTGCAGCTGGCATCCTGCTGGAGAGTTGACCTAACAGGAGTACCTTTGATTAGATTGATAACTAATCCTCTTCTCCCTTAGTTTCCACACAATGACTTATTTTTGCAACCACAACATTCTCAACTGCTCAATTTGCCTTGTATGCAAATAGAAAGCATAGGAACCTTTCCTTCAGATAGTTGACCAGCAGTGTGCAGCAACAACTAATCCCCAGTTCATTGGGATGAAAATGATGTTTTGCAGTTATTAACTTAACATCATATCTCAAACAGATTTTTTTTTTCCTTCTTCCTTTTCTTCAGATCGGAGACATTTGAAGGTGGCAACAAAGGTTTTGAGAGAACTGAATGCACTGGGACGCAAAGTGTAAGCCCATGCTGATGTACTCCATCTTACTGTTAGAAAGAAAATGCATTCTACACTTAAAACTTCAAGGACAAATCTTTTCTCATTTTTAGAGTTTCACAAAGCACAACAAAACATTCCACAAGTTGTTTCCAGACATTCCTGAGGAAGAAGACTTGATACATGGTAGGTACAGGTAAAATGACAGAAAAACATTAAATAAAAACAAATGTGTAAAACTGAAAGTCTGTTCTCCACTTTTCCTCCCAGCATACATATGTGCTCTGCAGAGAGAAGTGCCGTATCATGGTCGCCTCTACATCACCGACACCCACGCCTGTTTCTATTCCTCGGTTCTGCTGAAGGACACTAAGGTAGGCCTCTATGCTAGCCCAGCATGTCGCTCTGTTAAAAGCAATGTTTGACTTGACTGTCATTGGGTTTTATTCTTTTTCTTGCAGGTTGTCATTCCGGTTTCCTCCATCCACACAGTGAAGAAACAGAAAACAGCTCTACTGGTACCCAACGCCTTGTCTCTTCGAACCTCAGAAGGAGAGAAGGTCCGTCTAACATCTTTAACTCTCTGCAATTGTAACATTCATGAAGCAAATGGAGTTTATTATGTTTGGAATGAAATGAGATGTTGTGTAGCAACATTAATATTCCTTTAAAAGTTAAGTCAACAGGGTGTTTCACTATAGGATTTTTACCATCGAGCCAGCAGCTCATAATCCTCCCTCTTCTTTTTATATTGTTTAGTACGTCTTTGTGTCACTGAGGAACAGGGACTCGTGTTACCAGCTGCTTTGCTCCGTTTGCCCTCAGATAGAGGTGAGTGTCTCGGGTCAAACTACAAAAGAAACCCAGAATTGCAGCAGCTGAGTAAAACATGGGACCACTGAAAGGACCACTTTAGAAAGACTGATGGCATAACAGTCAAATTGTGTCAAGCCATTGAGAATAGCTTTGAAGTGCTTCATTGTCATGGTGGAAGTGTCGCAATGTATTGGACTTTCTCTTGTTACAAAGTCTAAATGTCGGGAAAGGGTTTTTTTTTATAAAAGTACAGCGTTACAAATTAAAGCAGGTGTCAGCTTAACTGTTTGAGCTGTCTTTGTTTACTTTTCATAAAATGTTGGAGGCTCATAGTTTGTGGGAATCATTTCAAGTCATCTCTGCATCTTCTTTTACAGGACAGCAGCACCAACAGTAGCCCTCTCTTTTCCTCAGGCGAAAACAGCTTTGATAAAAGCAAACTCGTGGTAAGAAAACTCTCATCAGTTTGGTTTCTTGAGTCTGACTTTAGAAACTTTAAAATAAGTGCTCTTTAATGTGCAGTGTTATTTGTTTCTGAAGTCCTGGTTCTTTGTGTGCAGAATTCCAGCCAGTCCAGTTTGGATGACAGCTTGGATGGTTCTGAAACTCAGTCCTTACAGAACCAGCCTCTGCAGAGAGCTCACCGAGGTAGGATGTTTGACTTCACACATTATGACCATATTAAGTATTATTAGAGTACCGGGTGTCAAAATCTTTTGTTCCCTAAATTGAAGTTCATTATAAACAAAACTTGCTGTGCTGCAGTCATGTTCTAATTTTGTTCTAGATGTGCAAAGTTCAAGGTCTGCTAGTAGTCTTAACAGCAATTCCTTCTTCTCTTATCTGTCCTTCCAGTAGAAGCAGTGCCTCATGGAAACGGTTCAGGTTTCAGCAGTCAGCAGACTGACAGCTCATCCTCAGAGGAGCTCTCTGAGTCAGGTAATGGACTCAAAGTGTCACAAGTATTCAAAAAAAAAAAAAAAAAACACGTTCAGTAATGAGCATTGGAAAAATCAGAATTAGAAAGTGAGCTGTAATATTTACGCTGTTGACTTGTATTTTTTAGGTGGATCGTGGATGTGGAATGTGACTGAAAAAGCCAAGTCTCTGCTGGTTCAGAGAGAGTTCAGCACCCTCAACACTCTTCTCTTTATTTACTTGATTCTGTAAGTGACACCCTTCTTCTTTAATATGTGTTCTCACACCTTCCTATCTTCCTGTTTGCTAATCTCTTATCTGCTGGTGCTGAAGTTGCATTCCGCAAACGAAAGCATGAGACTTTCCGTTGTCTAATGCTGAGGAACCTGATATCTCAAAGAATTTAAACAGAAAAACCTGTCTCCTCATTTTATGACCTTTATGTAGTCTTTAAAACAGCTTAGGTCGTTACTTGTTTATTGATGTTAGTAGGTCTAAACATTGAAGAACTAGTCTAAATCTCTGTGTGTGTGTGTGTGTGTGTTGCAGGGTGGTACTGCTGTTGCTGTCTTCGGGTTACATCGGTCTCCGTATCGTGGCTCTAGAGGAACAGCTTACGTCCCTCGGTGCTCTGCCAGAGTTCACCTTACAGAGCGGGTAGGATGTCTCTTTTCATCTCTGTCTTTATTTCAGTGTGAGAAGTAAGTAATTGATATCCAGTTTAAACAATAATGCCACACAAACTCTTGAATACTAATGCAAAATTCTCAACAACAAAAATTGTCGAGTCATCACACTTCTTCTAGGTACTTTTCAATTTTGGATGCAATACTGCCACCTAGTGGGGAGTTTTTCTTTTTCTTTTTTTTTTTTCCTTTTACACAAGTTTGTGGTTTTCACCCTGTTGTCTCAACAGTGCAAAACCTTATACTCAGTTTTCAGGTATTATAAATCCATAGTCCACAAAGATAAGTGCCAAATTCACAACTAAATTAACTCGTCCTATAAACAAGAAAGTAGGAAATGCATCATACAGCAATAGTAAAAAATTGAATCCGGTCTACTATAAATAGTTCATAACCCAACAAATTCTTGAGAAGTTTCTCATTTGTTTTCTGTCTTTAACTGTCTCTTTTTGTCTTGACAGGTATAACAAAAACACATAATCCTCAGCGACGGGAGGAGAGACGGGCGGTGATTTCAGCCTCTCCACAGCTGAACCTGAAGGGCCAACTTTAACATACTCAGACTCTGCTCCCAACATGGCCGGCGCTGTTACATAGAGGAAGAGCAGCAACCTCGTGCAATTTCAGAGTCGCTAACTTGAACAACTCTTCTTCCTCCAAGTGCAGTAAATAAACGGCCGTGTCGCAGCCTCAGCACACAGAGCCAAGCCAAATAAATACTCGCGCTGCCTGGTTGCAGTGTACCAGTTGTTTAAAAACCAAAGCCACAGTGGCTCAAACTCAGCAAAGTGCCACACTAGCCAAGTCAGATGGCACTATGCTTTCAGAAACTTTTCAACATCTGTGAATCTGTCACTCATTGTCCTGTTCTCCCTGAGCATGCAATCTGAATAGGGCTATACTACAGCATTAGCCTGCTGTAGTGCTTTTTGCTGCACTTCAACACTGGAGATGTAGTGCTATGCATAGCCAAAGATGCACAAAGTGCACATCTTTTGCATGAGTGCACAGAGAAAACTTTTCTATCTTTCATCAGCTGTAAATTCAGTCCTGTCTGTCTCTACATTCAGCAAGTTTGGGGGTACTTTAAATTGTTCTTTCTCATTGGGTGTGGGTTGAAATGATGCTTTTTCTTTTTTCTTTTTTTTTTTTTTTTGAGAAAAATCTTTATCGCAGATCAGCCCACAAAGGCATAATAATTTCCTGATGGTCCTATCCTTTCTCTCAGTCTGCTGTGATTGCAGTTTTACTTTCTTCGTTTTTGGTATGATTTAAATATGTTTAATGATCAATGCCCAGAGCTTATTTTCTTTCCACTAAAATAAGTACTGGACGAATGCATCTTCAATGCACAAATACTCAGCACAATGGGACACGAAGTTGTCCAAAAGGCGTAGATTTTGGTCTTCGAGAGCAGATTCAAATCTCTGGTTTTGACGTCAGTTGTTTTAGCGCCTTCAGAAGCTAGCTTTTTGTTCTAAAGCGACGTGCTCCTTGAAGACCAATAACCAGTAACGTATTTCTAATGCATGTGTCTGCAGTTATTGACACTTGACTGATTACTGTATATGCATTCTTGCTCTGGTCACCAGAGTGATGAATAATAACCCCATAACACTGTAAGGTCCGAGTTTTCAAATGCAAAAGAAATGTGGTCCGGAAAAGAAATTTCAGTTTGCATGGGAAGAATGTAACCTATGTTTGTGTGAAGTTCTTAAGTGAAGAATTGTGATTGTGGGGGGAAAAAACCAGTTCAATAACAGAAGTGAGAGGAATGGCGCAAGTAAGCAAGCGCACTTTAAAAAAAGACAAACATACATTGTGCCTGTCGCAACCCCCAGACACTTTGGTTGGACTGAAATGGCAAAGCTGGCGTTCTGCGGTGTTTGATGGTGCTAAGAATTATTTTAAATTGATTTCACTCAGGGTTGGTGGGGCTCTTCCTGCCGTGTGGTTTTAGTCGCTATAGCTAGACATTTCATTATGTAGTGCTCATGATGGGTTTCACGGTTTGCACGTCTTTAGTTATTCAGTAACCCTTTAATAATAAATTGATCTCACTTGATTTTAACTGAGAAATCTGCCGTCTTTCCATTATCAAATTTCTTGTTTTTAACTTAAATCATTTATCAGTACCACATTTTAACATCACAGTTCTTTTGGAGCCTCTTTCTTTGTAGGAGCAGTGAGCACCCTCATGGAGAGTCTTCTAAATGTTTTTTTTTCTTGCCATGCCATATCCATTACTGTCAGTTATTGTATTCGCCCACCCAGGGGCAGTATGCACAACCACTGTCCACGAATGATCCATTTCAAGACTTTAGGGCGGGTTTTGTGTGATTTTTGCACTATTTAGAGTGTTGTAAATAATTTTGTACCAAATGTTAATGTCCTTAATTCTACTTTGGCTCTCTCTATATATTTATTTGCATTATGTGTAATTTAAAGTGGTCTCTGTGAGATTGCTTTGTACTGTTAAAAATAAATATTTGGAAGTAAAATTTGGCGTATTGGTGTTTTTATGTTGAAAGTATGTGAACATTGTCCCTGAATTTTAGGGGAAACAAGTAAATTTGTGAAAAGAAATGTGAATATCTCATTCAACCATTGGACTTGATATTTTAAATGTACTTTGTACCATTTTGTCAATTAGACAATTTTTTTTAAAGCATTTTAGTTGACATGTGGTAGAACTAGCTTTTGTTCCAAATACAGGTGCAAGGCTTTTGTACTGTTTTACCTCCTTAGAACATGTACAGAGTGAAAATGTTGCAAAATAACAATCTCTGCATGTGTGTTTTAAGCGGAAATCTTTTTAAAGTACCAATTAGACAGATTCTAATCTAATTGGTACTTTAGTGTGGACGGACGGTAACTGGGCCACTCTAACGTTTGTACATGAGTTATATATATCAGTCGCTGAAACTTTTGCCACAAGAACCAAAACTGTCAAGCCACTACCACAAAATGAGTTATTTTTCCATTTTTGGTTTTCACCTGCTGTTTGGTAAATTAATGTACTTTTTAATAATATTATCAAGTGAAAGCATAAAACAGACCTGCTAATTGTACAAAAATGTTACTGTCCACTATACTATAGGAAGCTTCTAGTTTTCCAGCATGTTTTCTGAAATACCCTTTTTGTTCTTTTCAAAGAGTTTTTCTGCATTGACTTCCTATAGTTAATGCAGTTAAAAGGAACTGCCTAAAAACATTTTTAAAAAAAAAAAAAAAACTGTTTTACTGTCCTCTATCTGATAGTAAACCGACAGCAAAGAGGGCAATGAGAGCAGTGGAAGACATGCAGCAAAGGTCACCAGGCCGGGACTCGAACCGGCCTGGTTGGAGTCCCGGCCGGTTCGAGAACTAAGCTGGGTTGTGCTTAAGCCCTTCCCCAACATTGTGCCATTCTGGGCACACATAAAATAATTCCTATGCTTTGGACACCCCTGACCTAACACAGTCTCTTGTAACTCCCCTGCTTCAGATATCTTGCAGCCTCTTGCCGTTTTTCCACTCCTCTCTCCAGCTTTGTCCTGTATTTAAATTAATCAATCTGTCCATCAATATGGACCAGACTCCTTGTCCTGATGTAGGAAAGCATTTACACAGAATGATGCTGCCACTCTACAGCAATTTTGTCCTGGCAAACAACAGGGCTTCTTAAGCATTTTTTCCAGCAAAAGTTGTTGGTATTGGAATAGAAGGATATGTCGCATAAAACTTTTCACATGTTTGGTAAAAGCCTAATTAAATCCGATGAACTGTGTGGTTTTACAGTGATATGTGAAAATGGTTTGCAGAGCATTGTAAATTCTAGCATTTATTAAAACCAAAAAATGTTAGACTAAGGATGAAGGCTGGAAGAAGAAGAACAGAATGTTGCATCTGAATTTGAACAATTTAGTTTCAAAACCACATTCTTGTGTAACAGGAAAAATCTCAGACTAATATTGTGCTTATAGCTGTCTGACATCTGGCATGTTTGGTTAACAGTTTGTGTCTCAACTACATCTAGCTGCAGAGAATGAACTATGCTATATTTATTTTATTTCATATTTCAGAAGCAAATTCCGTAACAATATTCAGTCCAACAGTCTGAAGGACCATTTGTGCATTTCTCCTGTTCAGCTGTCGGGGTTGTTGGAAGGAGCAGGGTCTTCAGAGGTCCGGCGGTATGCACAGAGCTGAAACGCACCTAGAACAAATGAGAGGCACCATCTATTAATAATCACATTTATTACAAAGTATATCATTAAAGTTTGGCGTGTAAAAGTCCTATCCAACTTTGCATATTTCAGGCTTACAGGAAACGTTTCCAGAGAATTTCGTTTAGTCTCTGTTAACGTTTGAACATGTCATGTAAATGATGTCTCACTTTTAAAATGCATCTCTTATTTGAGAAAACCTTCTGGACGGTGAGCCATTTTTTTTGTTTGTTTTATTCAAATGGAAACTTGTTTTCTCACGCACTGTTACGAAGTTCAAACTTGAAATCACTAAATACATAGACATTTGAGAACACGTATATTCTTCTTGAGTCAAAAACTGTAAGAAGTGAGAACCTGCTGCGAAAGCCAGAATCACAGCCACCCAGCCGATGACGTAGGACCAGGAAAAGCGCCAGTCCAGGAAGCGTTTGCCAAAGAAGGTGACGGTGTTATGCCGAGAAATGCATGCCTGCCGAGAATTGCATCCCCTGTCGCGGGAGCGCGCATCGCTCTAAACTCTCGCATATTGATGAGTAAACGGGCTGAAATCCGACCGAAGAGGAAACTTTTAAAAATATTGGTAACATTATAACGTTTATTAATCATGTAAGCGCTAAAATTGTGGGTTTTATTTCGCAAATTAATTGAAATAAACACTGATTTTTTTCACGTTTATTGAGCCATATTTGTCGAACGTTCTTCAGTGTCTGATGAACAAGTTCTCCGCAGCTGCTTTGAAATTCCAAGATTTTTCTTTTAACACCATAATAGCTTAAAACTTTACAAAACCGAGGCCCAATCCCAATTACGTAGAACATTTTATATTACGCTTAGCTGTCTAGTGTATTAATGTAGGGGAGATGCATTTTAATTTCTGAGCCTGCTAATATTTGCATCCCCTGTCTATTGTCCTGTTCATATGAAACTTATAGTGGTAACTCAGGGAACAAGTGTCATTATGTAGAAAAAATGTAATTTCCAAGTTAGCAGGGGATGCAATTTTTGGCAATATGGATTTCTAGCTTGCCAAAATTTGCATCCCCCCTGTTTTCATCAAATATGATCCAATTGAGTGAAACTCATACCAGCAGTTCTTACAACTACTCTGGTCATGTAGGACAAGTTATTTCACTCTTAACTCTTTATTTCTCAGAGTTAGCAGGGGGTGCAACTTTTGGCAATATGGATTTCTAGCTTGCCAAAATTTGCATCCCCCCTGTTTTCATGAAATATTTTCGAAATGATATTAAATTAATTCCAGTAGTTCATAGAACTACTCTGGTCATGTAGAAAAACATATTTCACTCTTAACTCATTATTTTTCAGAGTTAGCAGGGGGTGCATTTTCCGGCAATGTGGAATTTTCAGGTTGCCAAAAATTGCATCCCCTCTACTTTCATCAAATATGATCCAATTGAGATGAAACTCATACCAGCAGTTCTTAGAGCTACTCTGGTGATGTAGAAAAAGTTATTTCACTCTCAACTCTGTGTTTCTCCAAGTTAGCAGGGGGATGCATTTTCCGGCAATGTGGAATTTTCAGGTTGCCAAAAATTGCATCCCCTCTACTTTCATCAAATATGATCCAATTGAGATGAAACTCATACCAGCAGTTCTTAGAGCTACTCTGGTGATGTAGAAAAAGTTATTTCACTCTCAACTCTGTGTTTCTCCAAGTTAACAGGGGGATGCATTTTCCGGCAATGTGGAATTTCAGGTTGCCAAAATCTGCATCCCCGCTATTGTCATCAAATATTATTGAATGCATCTGAGAATGTGCTCAAAATGAAAATTGTCAGAAAATGCATGTCCTGCAATTTGGAGAATTAGGATAGTAATGTGTTATATGAAATGTTCTAGACAATGACACGTATGCTCTGAGCTACTAGAGTGACTTTCAAATCTGTATGACACTTTTGAGCTGAAAAAAAGGGCATGCAAATATCGGCAGCTCATAATTTGCTATGCCAAAAAATGCATCCCCCCAAGCTTAAAAAAACAAACAGTTATGAGTGAAATAGCTTTTTCTATATAATCACATTTGTTCCCTCAATTGCTGGTATGAGTTTCATATCAATAGGATAACATTTGAGGAAAAAGGAGAGGGAAAGCATATTTTGGCAGGTTGATAATAGGCTGTGCCATAAAATGCATCCCCCTGCTAACGTGTACAAATAAAAAATTAAGAGTGGAATAACATCTTCTGCATAAGAAGAATAGTTGTATGAGCTTCTGCTATGAGTTCCATGTTATTAGCATAACATTTGAGAAAAATAGAGAGGACATGCAAATTTTGGCAGGAGCAAAATCCATATTGCCGGAAAATGAATCCCCCTGCTAACTTGGAGAAACACAGAGTTGAGAGTGAAATAACTTTTTCTACATCACCAGAGTAGCTCTAAGAACTGCTGGTATGAGTTTCATCTCAATTGGATCATATTTGATGAAAGTAGAGGGGATGCAATTTTTGGCAACCTGAAAATTCCACATTGCCGGAAAATGCATCCCCCTGCTAACTTGGAGAAACACAGAGTTGAGAGTGAAATAACTTTTTCTACATCACCAGAGTAGCTCTACTGCTAAAATTCATCTCAATTGGATCATATTTGATGAAAGTAGAGGGGATGCAATTTTTGGCAACCTGAAAATTCCACATTGCCGGAAAATGCACCCCCTGCTAACTCTGAAAAATAATGAGTTAAGAGTGAAATATGTTTTTCTACATGACCAGAGTAGTTCTATGAACTACTGGAATTAATTTAATATCATTTCGAAAATATTTCATGAAAACAGGGGGATGCAAATTTTGGCAAGCTAGAAATCCATATTGCCAAAAGTTGCACCCCCTGCTAACTCTGAGAAATAAAGAGTTAAGAGTGAAATAACTTGTCCTACATGACCAGAGTAGTTGTAAGAACTGCTGGTATGAGTTTCACTCAATTGGATCATATTTGATGAAAACAGGGGGGATGCAAATTTTGGCAAGCTAGAAATCCATATTGCCAAAAATTGCATCCCCTGCTAACTTGGAAATTACATTTTTTCTACATAATGACACTTGTTCCCTGAGTTACCACTATAAGTTTCATATGAACAGGACAATAGACAGGGGATGCAAATATTAGCAGGCTCAGAAATTAAAATGCATCTCCCCTACATTAATACACTAGACAGCTAAGCGTAATATAAAATGTTCTACGTAATTGGGATTGGGCCTCGGTTTTGTAAAGTTTTAAGCTATTATGGTGTTAAAAGAAAAATCTTGGAATTTCAAAGCAGCTGCGGAGAACTTGTTCATCAGACACTGAAGAACGTTCGACAAATATGGCTCAATAAACGTGAAAAAAATCAGTGTTTATTTCAATTAATTTGCGAAATAAAACCCACAATTTTAGCGCTTACATGATTAATAAACGTTATAATGTTACCAATATTTTAAAAAGTTTCCTCTTCGGTCGGATTTCAGCCCGTTTACTCATCAATATGCGAGAGTTTAGAGCGATGCGCGCTCCCGCGACAGGGGATGCAATTCTCGGCAGGCATGCATTTCTCGGCATAACACCGGTCACTCCTGTGTAAACAGCTAAAGCCAGAAGAGCCAGAAAACCTTCAACAGAGAAGAAAAGAGAGAGAAAATGTGGACTGTGTTGGGGTTTCAGAGTTGCTTCGTTGTTTCGAATATCAGTGACGCTGGAAGAGCGGCTCGAGACGTAGAGCCGCAATTATCCTCCAGCTGTGAAAGTCTTTGTCGTACCTGACAGGAGCAGAGCGATGCCTCCGGTCCGGACCCTCCTGTGCTTGGTGCCGTTAGTGAAGGCGCTCAGGCCGAGCACAGTCCCAGCAAAACAGCTCAGCACGGCCAGCAGCATGAAGGCCCGGGTGGCGTCCCAGAAGGCTGAAAATGCAAATAATCAGTCTGCGAAAAAACAGGCGCACAAACATGCAAATAAAACTTTCTCAGTCAAGTAACTAGTTATCTCCATTCATTTTAGCTCCTGTAAAAATAATAATAATAACTTGAACTGAAGACTATGTCAATGAAACCACTGGACGCTCATTTGTAAACATCTATTGAGGCACATACCTACGGTTATGGTGTGGGCGTGGCATTTGTGGTTGATGCAGAACCTCCAAAGCCCCTGATTGGCTGAGCTGCCCGAGTAGCGGTAGTGCATCCAGAAATCTGTGGCCGTAGAAACGATGAGAAGCACCAGGGCGGCCACGCCGCACAGGGTGCCTGCTCCTGCTACACTGTACAGCATTGTGAAGCCTAAACTTCCAGCAGTAGTTCAGAGAGGAGAGGACAGGGAAAATGGAAGTTATGAAGTTTTATTTGCTTTTTACTAGTGAAAACATGTTTTCATTAAGGGCCTCTCTTCAAGTTTGTCACTTATATCGGTTTAACTTGCTCTGTTAGGATGATTCTTGGACTCTTTTACATGAATATAGACACTTACATGCATTGCAGTGATGCTAGAAAGAGCAATATGAGTTAAAGCTTAGGACTTTCCAAAAAAAAAAAAGAAAAGCAAATCCACATGACACACACATCAGAGCGATCCTCCAGAGCGTGGTGAAATTGGTTGGAGCCAGAAAAAGAACTCGACTCAAATGGCTGTCAGACAATAGGCTTGCCTATCAGGCAGTTCCAAGCTATTGTTCCTCTCTAATTCCCCTCCACTCACCACAAAATAATTTTCTAGTACGCAACTGTCAGCACTGCGACAAAGCCTGAAAACAAGTTATTTTTATATACTCCCCCTTAATGCATCTTTTCACAGTGGCCAAAATGCTCTGATTATGTCCAAAACGGGCAAGCATACCTAATTTAAAAATGTGGGCAATGTTCCTAATATTAACGCAAACTAAAACATGCAGTAAAGCTTGTAGTGATTTTTTTTTTTTCAATTATAGAAAATGAACTGCTTCAAACACCACCTCCTCTGTGTCTTTGTAGTTCTCAGCTTCTCTGATTTTGCTCTTTAAGCTTCTAATGCTCCCTGCTTGTATCATAAATGTGTGTAATTGTGTATGGCTCCAGGTTTTACCTTTAGTTTGGCCAGTCTGTGTCCTGAGTCGCTGGCTGTTAAACGGGTGTGCCTATCCTTTTTAAGCCCTGGACCTCAGGCCCTCATTGTCCATCTCACAAAAGAGTGAATCATCGAGTGCAGCGTGTGTGTGAGAGTAAATCCCTCTCTGGCCCACCTCTCTACCCTTTAACCTTCATCACTCCATCAGCCCACTGTCCATACTGTGCCATACTTGATCCTTCTATTGCAGGATTCACTTTGTAATAACTAAATGAAAAAGAGAAGAAAATGATACACTGGAAAATGAATGCATGTGTCGTACACAGTTGAGGAAAAGACACAATACAAATGCTGCTTTTATATAAGTAGTTCATCCAACTCCTTTTGTGAAGTTTTCATTTATCCACATGCATCATGTGTACAATAGCAACAATGTAATTCTATTTCACTTTTGTTACTCCTTTACTTTTGTCACCAGAGGATAAACACAAGTAAAATCCATTCCCAGCCTAAAAAAAGTATCCACATGAATGAAGCTTATTTTCCCATTGCTGGGATGCTTCTGTTCTTGACTGGCTATAAATTAGTTGTACTGAACTTTATGCTGCAAACATGAGGTATGTTTATGTTGACAAAAATGACTTAAAGTTGTCAATTATCTTTCTAAATCAAACTTCAGTTTGCTTTTCTGGCTGAATTATATTTTACAATGTGTGCAGTGGTGATTTAAATACTACTTCTTAAAAAGAAAAAAAATATGAACAATGCAACATTTGATTAGAAGTTCTGACCCACAGATGAAGTATTTTGAACCAACTCATTACTGATCAGTGTACAGAAAATAAACACTTACCAGTTTTCAAAAATGATCTTCAAGCCTTACAGCATCAGCTTACAAACACCCTGTAGGATGAATAAAAACCTTTAGTTTAGTGATGTTGCTGTCTCAGTGACAAAATTTGGCCTGAAACACATTTACATTTTATTGTTGACCAAAATAAAACAGGATAAGTCATATTTTCAGTCTTCATGTCCTAATTAATAAAAAAATCTTTAATGATAATACATCAATCATTTATTACATTACATACATATGTGCACAGTCAAAATGCTGCTTCCAATTTTCTGCATTAATGACATGTTTAAAATATTTACTTTAACTTGGCATAGAAATGCAATCAGAAAAGAAAGCTTGTTCTCTGCAGATGTTTAATAAAGGCACATTATGAAATGCATAAAACTAAATGTTGCTTCCTTCCACAATGTTGAGTCCAGACACTGATTTTCATAGAAACCACTGACATCGCTGTGCTTTGATGAGCTGTGAAACGCTGTGCAATGTTGCAACAAAAGGTAAATTTTTTTTATCTCTATTCCTTTTTTTCATCAACTTGACAGAATATTGATAAAATATTTCAGTGCATTGTTAAAGAACTAAAGCAGTTTTAAAAGTGTGCTTGGTGTGAACTTAGTTTTCTCTTTTTGTGTGTGTCATCCACCCTATCAATCACAATATAACAAGCAAACACAGAAGAATGAATAGTACTTTTGAGGCTTTGGGATTACACTAAAACCAAATTACAACTGCACAGACATTTTTGTTTCCTTTGACAATTTGAAAAATGTTTTATATCCACCTTTAGCTACAGTTGACCTTTGACATCAACACACACAGACTATGGTGTCCCATGGTGACAGAATCACACAGATGTACCGTAGTAGCATTCCAACTCACACCGGTGGCTTTCAGTGCATGAAGTCTTCAAAACATTCTCACTGCAGTACACAAGCAGAGGCTGATCTAAACAGAGTAAACTGTGCTCTTATGAACAGCTAATCTCTTGAAATTCTCAGGGCCCCGGAGCCCAGAGGGCGACAGTTCGATCAGCAGACGAGGAGAGGAACGTCTGGTCATGTGGGTGCCACCTGCACTGGATCACCTTGTCCCAGTGCTCGCCGGCCAGCGTCTGAGGGAGCGGCTTCGTCAAGTCACCTGGAGTCAGAAGGTCAGGATTAGCTGCGCATGCTGTTTCGTTGTCGTTTTCTTTCTATATTCACAAACGTCATGGGCACCTTGGAGGTCGCTGATGATGATTTTGTTGTCATAGGAACCGGTGAGGAGACGATGGGCTCCCGGCGAGAAGCGCACAGAGCGAATGTCGCTGCCATGGGGGCGGAAGGTCTGAACTATGCGTCCCCCTCGGATGTCATACAACATGCAGGTGCTGTCCTCCTGACCGGTGGCCAGCAGGCGGCCGCTGGGGTCCACCGCCACTGAAGCAACAGCACTTCCTGAGCGATAAAGAGGAAGCACATCCTAGAACTGGCTCAGCCTGATTTAAGGCATATATTTTCAGGTGTGTATGTTTTTGGAATATTCAGTCTCTTTATTAGAACCTTCCTGTTTCTACTATAAATCTAATATATCCTGGCACAATTGTTTTGTATTAAAAAAAGAAATTGAGACCGAGTTTAAATGGTTTTGTTTTTATTGAGATAAACTGGAGGTAGCTGGAGTTTTTCATTTTTTTATGTGCCAAGTTTAGAGAAAAATAAATTAATGATAAAAAATAAACTCCAAGCATGTGAATGAATTCTTGTATAATAATACAAGGACTTTTCAATATTATATAAAAAAAATTGTTTAAAAAAGAACAATAGTTACAATATCTTCCTGTACAGTTTGACTTGACATGGTTGGCTTGAATGATATGATCACTTGGGCAATGTGGACTAGTGAACTACAGCTGATTAAATATTGAGTTAAAATCTGGATCATCTGTGTTTTGACTCACCTGATCCATGCAGAGATGTGCCAATCACCCGAACACAGCTGGGCACACGAAGGTCCCAGAACCGGACCGTTTTATCCTGGGAGCCTGAGGCGATCATCCAACCGCCCCATGTGTACACAGTCAGAATGTGACCTATCCAGGTATAATAGCATTAATCTGTTTTTTATTCTGACTCTCTTGTGGTGCCAAACTTTAATTTTGAATTAGTTTGAAAAATATTAGCATTCTAAAATAAAAAGTGGTGTTTTTACCACTGGGTTACCTGTGTGTCCACTCAGGGCATGAAGGCCTTGTCCTCTCTGACAGTCTGTTGTGTAAATGTTGCAGTCTCCAGCCCCGGCACTGATCAGGATGGATCCCCCACTCTCAGGACCCTCCATAAATGCCAGGTCTCTTATGGTACCATCGTGCATGCTGAACTCCAGGTCTGGGCCTGAATCATGGAAACATTTGCTTTTAAGCAGCGAGACAGTGTATGCGCGTGGAAATGTAATTTCCTGTCTTCACTGGCATTTTTACCTGTGCTCATATAGAAAAAAGAAAAGCTATACTAAACCTGTTAAACTGTACCTGTGGCATTGCAGCTGTCTGCATTGAAAGGCAAAACCTTAACATATTTGTCGTTGGAGCCAGTGGCTAGCAACTGTCCACAGTGACTCCAAGCCACACAGTAGATTGAGCCCTTGTGATGTTTGTTTCGTCTGAAACGCACCGACGGCTGTTTGGCTGCACTGGAACCGCTAAAATGGCAAAACAGGAAAAGACACATGTGACCTTAGCATCAGTGTTGAATATTTAGGAGAAAAAGGGAAATTACATATTTTAAGCTGAGCCTTAGCTTAAAATATGCTAAGGCTTTAAAGCACTATTATGCTTTAAAGCATAATAGTGAACTTTATGCAATATTTTTATCAAGTCACAAACAGTGTTTTCCAGTTAAAGATGCCACACTTTTGAAGATTCGTTTCTTAAAGATATTTTAGAAGAAAATTGGCATAGCTGGGTTGTAGTATCTAATATCTATTGAAACACAGTTTAATAGAAAAAATATTTCAAAATTTCTATTTTATATAACTTTGTTGGGCCCTGTGAAATCAAACACATCAGGTTCACCACCTGAGATCTGGCAGGTTAAAGAAAATGATTGTAAATTAAATATAAATAATGTGAAAAGTACTTTATTGTTTAGAAATTCATATCTTTCTAAGATTCTACTTTCCTTTTATTCTTTTTACCCAGGCCCGGAAAAGAACAAAAGCAAATTCCTTATATTCAAGGCTTTTAAACTGTGAAGGTACTCAGTATTATACTATAAATGCAAATTAATAATCTACGTCCTCTTTCACTTTCTCCTGCTTTGAAAGCCTACCTGCTGGTCACTGTTTCTGGGTAGGCACAGACTCTCAGGGTTTTGGAGTTTGAGCCGACTGCATAGAGCGCTCCAGATGGATGAAAAGCTACGGCACGCAGAGCCTGGGTGTCCTCAAGCTGACTCACCCGTACAAACTGGGCTTTGGACTTCACATGCTGCAACAAGACCAGAAACATAACGAACTCTAATGAGTTCCAACAAGAATCTAAATGTCTTTTAGCGTTTGAGCCTTGCTTGTGAGTGGAAGTTTTGCCATAGTTATTGGACATTTGGTTCACCTCATGTGTGTTTCTGATGGCGGAGCAGCCAGGATCATCTTGGACTGCAGCGGCAGAATCTCTGATTCTTTCCAAGCTGAAAATGAGCATACAGCATTGCATTTTAATTGCATCTACCAAAAAAATCAAAAATAAATCTGATTTAGGCACAAGTTTCTTGCACATTTTCAACTGAAATGTTAAACAAATTGAACATTTTTGACAACTGGCAGGAACTGAGAAAGCAGCAAGAAAGAAAAAAAAATTAGAAACCACCTGAAAAACTAAATAAAAAAAGAAAAGGAAAGACACCAAAAAGACAGAAGGGAAGATGGAATAAAGTCTGGAAAATCTTTAAATTAAATTCCATACTTTTCCCGCTTCTTCTAGGCTGTAATAATATCGACTGTCTTATAACAATGCAAAATGAAACTTGTAATTGCATATCTTAAACATTTATATTTTTGTAAATGTAAAAAATAATAGTAAATGTTACACCAGAGATTTGAGAGGTTCTTACCTGCGACTTTTAGTAACTGGGGATTCGCTGATTGATGACTGGCCGTGGTTCCCAGAGTTCAACGGGGTGCTGCTCACCCCTCCTGACCTGCTCCTCACAGGGCCCCTCTCTGTGCTGGGAACGTCTGCCGTCCTGGGGCTAGAGGTGCAGCTGTTTGTTGGCAACCCATTCCACTGCTGGC